AATAAAAATGGGTTTCCTGCAATTAGTTTGTCTTTAATCCCCAAAAAGCTTTTCAGGACCAATACAATCCAAGGACCTCCCTATCTTCCAAGAAATGGTATCCATAAATTAAAAAAAAACAAAACATTGTGGATGCCATGTGCAGTGTCCATGGACACAACCACTGCAGGCACAGAGCTGCACAATATTTAGGATTCAAAGGCATAATCTGCTTTAGAGCATGGGGAAGTATGATTGTAGCATCTATCAGCAACTCTTTCATGTCTTTTCACAAGATCACACAGCAGCCTCAAATTAGATTGGTCTAATGTTTGATACCTGCTTCAACACTCAAAGTGTAATAGAAAGCACCAGTATTTGTACTAGAATTTTTGCTGCTCAGTAGAGGTGCAAATGCAGGTAATGCATATCATATCCACACTGGATTGGGAAAGAAAATTTCCCTGAAACTCTGGAGTGCTGTTGCCAGTCAGTATTGAACATACAGGTGCCACTGAATCAACAACCTGGTAGTGTAAGGCAGTTTCCTGTGTTCCTATAAATAGGATTATCCTATCTGAGCTGCAAAATACCAGACAACCGGTAGACAGCAGCAAAGAGACAGAGCTTCTGCATCCTTTTGCTGCCATCTAAACATCTAAATTTCTGTAGCCAGATATAATGGCTAAATAGAAGAGAATATCCGCAGCTCAAGGTTGAATGAGGTGGAGTCCTGGATGCTCTCTGAGCTTTGTTGTTTGCTTGCAGACATTTCATTACCCAACTAGGTGACATCACCAGTGCTGGTGATTTGGGATTTTGCTCCCTATTTATATACCGTAGCTTACCCTGCCAATGTTGGTGGGGTGTGGTTTTTTCCTTGGTAATTTCTTGATTGGGGTATTGTTTTCTGCTTGTTTGCTTGGTATTGATCCCTGCTTATCTGGGTGTTGGCTTCTGGAAAGGATGTGTTTTAGTCTTTCTGTTTCCTGCTTAGCTTTTTTATTGCCTCTTTTGAACGGTGTGTAAATATGGTTTATGGCTCATATGTCTGAATGCCAAGTTTCCAGAAATTCCTTAGCATTTTTGGATTTAGCTTGGTCTAGGATGCTCACTGTTTCCCATTTGAAACTATGGTTGAGTCTGTCCATGTGCTGCGAGATTAAAGAGTTTTCATCATGTCTTCTGACTGCTATTTGGTATTCATAGATGCACTCTGCTAGTTTTCTGCGTGTCTGTCCCACATGACAGTTACAGTCCTTATGTTGTATGTTTCATGTGACTCCTATTTTTTTTCTCCTTGGGCTACTTGGTTACCAAATATACTCAGCTACCAGATACAGTGGATGTATGGTAATAAAGTTGACTAATCAACTCATTTCTTGGCTCTTGCTACCAACTCTACATTCCTTTTCAACATTTATCTTAGCAAACAGGTGGATTAATAGGGTAATATATAGGGCATATAAAGGAAGAGGGAGATTTAATGTTTAATTTCCCATTGCCTTGTCTGATCTGCCTTCTGAACAATGAACAAAATGGATGATGGCATATTCTTCTATTGTCACTATTGTTGCAATGCAAAACAAAACAAAACACATCACCACCCACAAACAAGAAAAACCAGTAACCCATCTCTTTGTCTTAAGGGAAAATGACCCAGAAGATTATATATCCAAGGGAAAAATGCAGGACTTTTCATACAATTCGTACAAGAAGAACTGAATTACAACTCTCTGTTCTGTTGGACCCTTTCTGAAGGATGCATCTTGACTGTTCTTTTTTCTTGTGTGTTTTTTTTTAAAAAACACCCAAGCTTGATACTGGTTGCAAAGAGTGGGCACATACTCTGTTCTTGTTTGGAGCTGTGTCCCTTTTAAAAAAATTCAGGTATAGCGGTAACCTTGTTGCTGCTGAATATTTTAAAGGAAGAGAACACTAAAATTGCTTGCTTAATTAAATATGTATGCCAATTCCAGGCTTTTGCATTTAAGATGGCTGGAATCAGCTTGGCAGGAGGAAAGGGAGGAAAAGAGATAATGGGGCAGAGAAGTAAATCATTTAAAAAATTAATCAGTATATGGGCGCATTAGTGGGTATATGACAAACCTAGCCCAAGAACAAAGTAAAACAGTCCAGCAAAAGCTCAGTGCTTTATTTGCATATACTATATAGGCAGAATCTTGCCCAACTAAACCTTTACTAATATCACCTTAATGGGTATATCCTAAAGAGTGGCTACCTTAAATCTCTTTTTCTTCCCATGATCCAGCTCCAACTATGCTGTCTCTTGTCTCACTCCCCTCGTTGGAATGTGCTCCCTCCTTCCTGGATCCTGCTGCTTGACTGTAGTCCATCACACCACCTCCCCCTTCACAGAAACATTCCATCACAGTATATTTCAGAAGGGACTTCAGCTCTCTGCCTTTCCAGTCTCTGACAATTAAAAAGAAAAGGCCATCTTGGCAACAGTTGGGAATGTGGAATTATTTATCTTTTAATATCTGCTACCAAACCTCTCAAACTGGTGTGGATTAATCTCATGAGTCAGCTAAACAAGGAGATTATACGAGTAGTCGTTGATATACGACCACAATTGAGCCTAACATTGTTGTTGTTAAGCAAGATAGTTAAGAGAGTTTTGACCAGTGGTGGGATTCAAATACCTGAGCAACCAGTTCTCTTATTGGATCCAAAGCCAAAGCAGACTTCCAGAAGTGGCATCCATGCACTTCTGGCAGGCCGTTCTAGGCCTTGGAGACCTCTGTGGTCTAGACTGGACTTCCGGAAGCAGTGTGTATTCGGCCGGTTCTCCGAACTCAGCAAAATTTAGCTACCGGTTCTCCTGAACCGGTGCGAACCAGCTGAATCCCACCACTGGTTTTGACCCATTTTATTATCTTTCTTGCCACACTTGTTAAGTGAATCACTAGTTATGAAGTTAGTAACACAGTTGTTAAGTGAATCTGGTTTTCCCATTGATTTTGCTTGTCAGAAGGTCATAAAAACTGATCCCATGACATCGAGACACTGCAACCATTGTAAATACATGCCAGTTGCCAACTGTCTGAATTTTGATCACGTGACCATGGGAATGCTGCAATGGTCGTAAGAGTGAAAAATGATCATAAGTCATTTCTTCAGTGCTGTTGTAACTTCAAATGGTCACCAAATAAATAGTTGTAAGTCAAGGACTATCTGTATGTGGGGAAAATAGGAGGAGGAAGGATTATGAGGTATGTTGCCACTTTGAATTGTTTATTTTAAAAAGAACCCCATATGAAATAAATAAATAAGTGTATCATAACATAATTGTCAGATGATATAAATTGTATAATTTGCTCATTTGCTCAGTGACATCATGGTATGCAATACAATATTGTGGCTTGCATTGGACACCAATTTGGGAAGTCTGATACATGGATTTGATTGCTGATTTTGTTTTATTTTAGGCTTCCAACTTTAGAGAATTCTTTATACATTGCTTTGTTTAAATACATAGAAATCGATTCTATTAAGTTTTCCTGAAATAATAACTACAGTGGCTTGGTTCACATAACGTGGCCAGCCACAACATGGCCAGCAAATCATATTATGGCTTAGTGAGAGATAACAAACTTGTTTGTGGCTGTTGGTTTTTTCCTGTTCTTGCTAAGAAATTACTCCCTGTGTGTTCTACAGAAGAGGATTCTTGGAAGAATCCTATATATATATAACCCATATACCCTATATGGTGGGTCTTCATCGTTTCAAAAACAACCAGTATTGATGACTATTAAACTGAACACATAATAGTCTCTTAATTTATACATAGTACGTGATTAAAACATTGGAAATCTGATGCATATAATCAGTGGTATCCCATACACATCTGATTCTCACTTGGTCAATAAGCTTCCTTTTTGAACTTTTGCTTAACTGGCTGGGGGATTCTGGGAGTTGAAGTCCATCCATCTAAGTCACCAAGGTTGAGAAACCCTGGACTGTGCTATTTGCTTCTGCACATCATCAGATAGATGAAATACTGAAGTTGAGTTCTGAGACTTATTCTCAACGGAAATGCCAAATGTACAAATCTGATTGGCCAGAGTTGAGAAAAGATGATGGCTTAAGTAAAAGCATGCTCAGATCCTGCTAGGCACCTTGTATAGATTCTCCAGTTTTTAATTTTGGAATTCTCTGGACCATTCACATGTTATGTAATGCTTTGTTTATACTTCAGCAATAAAAATAGTTTATATCCCAGCAATCCACATGAAATTGAATCACATGGAGCTCCAAGGACTCCTCGTTTTTTTTTTTTTTTTTTGGTCCTTGCTAAGTTTGTATTTGCTGTAGTGATGTCTGCACATGTTCAGTGATGTACATGTTGAAAGAGAACCAGCACTATGTTCTCCAGAGAAAGAGGCTTCCTTAATGGGCAAAATTAGCAAGCAGACTATGGGATTTTCCATTAATGTTCAGTTTGTATCACCTTTCTAGCTCCCTCAAGAAGGAAAATAAATACTGTATTAATCTTGTATCTATTTCTCATATGAGTGGTGTGGTGGCCTAGTGGTGAAGATGCTCGCCTCCCACTCTGAAGATTGAGAGTTCAATCCTAGGTAGCGGCAGATGTTAATCTCCTAGGGCGCAAAGAAAAAATATCTGCTGCAAACTCCGTGTGGTGTCAGAAAGGGCACCTGGCTGAGCACCATCTAGTCACCCCAACTCTACCCTGAATAGGTACTACAGGGCCATAAAAAGGAAGGGTGTCTATCTCTCATACATGGTTTACATGAAGACGTAGAATAATTCTTCTGATACAAGAGTGGTAACAGGAACTTGGCTGTTCATCTGCTCTTCAGACAAACTTTTGGCTCTTGAGTTATTCCATCCTGTCTGAACTCTTTTTATCTTGCAACATAGAATTTGTTGAATTTCTTGGCCAAGCAGGCACGCAGATCAATCTTTGGTGCAGCAACAAACTCTAGTCATAACCACCACAGTAATGCATTTTCCTTGCTCCTTCTCTCAAACAGCCCCTTGTGCGCAAGTGTAAACCTTTAAGATGTCTCTCAGCAATAGAAAGCAAGTGAGCACTTCAGCACTTAAGAAAATCGCTGCCGACATGAGTAACTTAATCGAAAGTCTGGACTCAAGGGAGCTTCATTTTGAAGGGGAAGAATTGGATAGTGATGTGGTACATGATCCAAAAGCTCCTGGTAAGTCAATAGCTCAAGCGCATAAAATGCTTTTTTGAAACCTGAGCGTTCTTTTTAAAAAGATTGATAGTTCTTACTGAACAAGGGGGAAGAGAAATCAAATGTGATTGAATTACACTGAATCGGAGCTCCAGGAACTTTGATGCCCTTTGTGAAGTCTTCAGCAACCATCCTGACTAACATTTCTCTGTTTCCCGTACTATTAACCCTATTTCTTTTACCAACTAAAAACCAAAACTCTAATAACTCCAAGAGCTTCTTCTTTTTTTTTTTTTTTTCAAATGATGAAACCTCCAAAATCCCAACAGATTATATAAGGTCTTTTGGTTACCAGAAAAGAAAAGTTTGAAAATTTGGACCCAGTTTTTTTCCTCAAACTTTTTAGGAATTTTTGGTAACCGGGTTAAGAGAGGAACAGGAGTGTTTTATGTCCAAAAGACTTGCAGTCCCATTCCTTCCCTTATTTTCCAGTTTAAATATGAAACTGCCAAAATCCGGTCCTTTTGACACTGTGTTTCAGAGGTGACATCTTGCGTTGCTTTGGGAACCAAAAAGCTAAGTGTTTGGCAGAGCCATGTCCTGTGACTTTATCCTCCTGCTTTAGACGTCTTGGAGTCAAGTCTTACAAAGATCATGAGAAAGCAAAGAACTATACTGGGTGCAAAAATTTTAAAATTTTAACATTTTAAAATTTTTATTCGATAATGTTTTGTTTTAATTGTTAAATTGTTCATGCTGTATTGATTTTTTATGTTTGTGTGTGTGTGAGAAAGAGAGAGAGAGAGAGAAGAGAGAGAGAGAGCGAAGGTAGGAGAATAGAACCAAATATTTTTAATTATTTTTAATTCAGTATGGAATCTGAAGTGGTACCATCCAGGGCTTTTTTTCTCATAGAACGCCCAGAATGGAGTTCCAGCACCTTTTTTGGATGAAACCTTGTAAGGTAGGCAAGGTGGGTTGTATGACATGTGTGAGTTCCGGCACCTTTTTTTTTTTTAAAGAAAAAAAGCACTGGTACCATTTATTCTATTAATTCAGTGTTTGTCAGTCTTACCAATTTTAAGATGTGTTGACTTCAACTATCAAAATTCCCCAGTCCACACATCTTATAACTGGGAAAAAAAACCCAGAAATACAGTAATGGCACAGGGCCATAACTAGAGATGACAAAAACTTGGAATTTTCTAATCTCTTCTGAGCTTTCTCTTCAAAGAGGTTTGCTAACAACTGCAATAAATTAGGACTACCAGATACGGATTGCAAAAAAATAATAATATCCACATGACGATTAGGTGGAAGGAAAGAGATACAGAAAACCCCAGGCCTTTACCATTATTTAGCAATTACTGTGCTGGGATTGCTGTGGCTTAGATTGGTAGTGCTAGATAAATTACACAATGATAGATAAACATCAGCATGTTGAGAAGGACAAACTTTTTCATCCAGCATCTGCTTACGCATGCATAAATACAGTGTTTCTACTTCTAGCTCAGTGGTTCTCAACCTGTGGGTTGGGACCCCATTTGGGGTCGAACGACCATTTCACGGGGGTCGCCAAACAATGCAGTCCGCCATTTTTTTCCTCTTTTCCTTAGCTGAGCTACTCCCTTTTATTCTATTGGCTTTTGAAAGCCAATAGAATAGACTCTCTTGAATAGAGTCTAATTCTATTGGCTTTCAAAAGCCAAAAGGAATTGTCCAGGCTGTCTCTGCCCTGCTGAGCCCGCCAAAAGTCCCATTCTGCAAACGGTGCTGCACCAGTTGAGTAGTCCTCGACTTACGACTGGTTGAGTAGTCCTCGACTTACGACCGGTTGGGGGGTCGCGGCATTAAAAAGGTTGAGAACCACTGTTCTAGCTGAAGTTATTCATGTCCAAAGGCCATGTTGAAACCAGTGTAACAAGTTAACTATAGACAACTTAAGTCCTGTTGTTTTCAGTGGCCTGGTTCATTCAGTGTGCTGTGCCATAATATGATGTGCTTCCCTTAGAGGTACCCAATCAACTATATTTTATTCAACAACCAGTGGTTTAGTGTAATATGCAATATACTGTAGTTAACAGTAAATATCATTTTAAAAAAGCTTGTTTGTTTATAAAAATTATTATGGGCTATCTTGGATTGCATTGAGTCTACTAGCATTGAGTCCCTGATTATCAGAGGTAGGTGGGACATACCATCAGAATGGACAACCACTGTATGACTTGCCAGTTGCTGTACAGGTGTACTGGAATCTGGGAAGAGACCTTGAGATCATGCAAGTACAAAAAATGCTATGAAAGAAACCCTTTGCTATTGTGACAACCAGCCAAGGGAAGTAGAAGCTACAGTTGTTGACAAAATCTGCTGATGAGCCCTGTGCTATGAAGCCTCCATCAGAAAACTATGAGTGACATCACCCACAGCTACTACAACTGTACTTCCAGGAAGCTGGAGATCCATTGTTGTAGTAGTTGTGAGTGATGTCGTTCATGATTTTCTATCAGTTTTTGCTAGTACCTCTCTTCAAAAGTGGTAGAGACTTTAGATAGATAGGTAGGTAGGTAGGTAGGTAGGTAGGTAGGTAGGTAGGTAGGTAGGTTAGATAGGCAGGCAGGCAGGCAAGCAGAGATATACTATAGCTATATCGTGTGTGTGTTTGTGTGTGTGTGTGTGTGTGAGAGAGAGAGAGAGAGAGAGAGAGAGAATTTCATATATAGATCAGAGCATATATGTATATGCCGCATGGCTTGATTTTGTTTTAATGCAGCCCAAAGTGTGAATCAACCTTGATTTGTAAACCACAGTTGATTGACATTGTGTGCCAACTGTGTTTTATTCAACAAAGTATGATTAGACAAACTATAAGTTACTGCCCGATCTGATCCAGGATGTGAATAATGTTTTGCAGTAGAACAACCCAGATTCAGTCCCTGATCTTTCAGTTCAAACAATCAATTATTTTAGGTTTTTATTGTGAAACTCGTCTAAAAAAAATGTATTACTTTTGTTTTCTTTTACATTTCACTCGAATCACCCTCTTGGCATCAGGTTTCCTATCTAAAGGGGTAGTGACTAATACAAAATAATCCGGAGCTTTTATTTATTTGAAAGGAGCTGCTACACCCCATGGAGCACTTGGCTGAAGGAATCCACATTGTGCTGCCATGTCTCAATCTGCCATTTAACTGCTTTTGCTGTAACCTGTTTAACGTGCGCTTTAAAACCCATATAAATAACTGATGCCTGGCCATCTCATTATTTGCAGTGGGCATTCCATTCTCAGCCATTTATAACACTAAAGGATTTAAAGAGCCAGACGTGCAGCTCTACCTAACTGGGTGTCCAATCCGAGTACGGGTTCTAGAAGTGGAGCGTTTTACATCAACATCCAAGGTCAGATCTACTCTCTCAGTCATACTTTCATGTTTTGCAAGGCTGCAGGAGGCCCAGTTGGTCGAAATATTTTTTTTTAAATGGAAGATTATTTTTTTAAAAAAAAAAACATCGGATATCATGTTTAAAATCTTTTTAATCTAATCCATAGAAATTACTGGGTGGGAAGGTTTCTGTGTGCCATTTTTAGAAATTGGTACACCAGATGATTTGCATTGGAATCTTCACTACTGAATCATAATCCTTAATCGAGGGGAATTTTCTCCAAATGTGATAGGAGGGCAAAGGAAAGGAAGAAAATTATTTTTTTCCTTAATTTATATGCCACTGGTTTCACTATCCAAAGTTCGCTCTGAACCAATTTAATTCCAATTTGACCTTTGTAGCTGTTCCATGCATCAGTGAAAAGAGGTGTTTTGTACACGTGAGGATCACAGAACCCATTTTGTGCCCTGGCAGACTTCCCCCTTCCCTCAGATTAAAACAGAAAAATCAGATTTATCTGACGTCCCAGTTACCCTTCAAAAGTAAAAAGGTGCAGTGGTTAGAATGCAGTATTGCAGGCAAACTCTGTCCACAGCCAGGAGTTTGATCCTACCGGCTCGAGGTTGACTCAGCCTTCCATCCTACTGAAGTCAGTAAAATAAGGACCCAGATTGTTGGGGGCAATATGCTGACATTGTAAACTGCCCAGAGAGTATAACACTATGGAGTGGCATATAAGACTAAGTGATATTGCTGTCTTGGTCCTATTTTGTTCTTGAATCACAAAAGAGGTTCTAGGAACCAGTTATAGTTCATGGATCAATTCTCTATGATTTGTGGCATCCAATTGCTTAGGAAGAGCAGGTAAATTACATATTTTTTCTCTGAAATGATACTTATGAGGGGTTTTATGCACCTTTTATTGTTGGAAAATAATGTCTAATTACTTTCCCCTTAATATGTTTCTTTTTCAATGACATTGATTCAGGATAAATCTTGCTGAAATGTAATACAGGTAGTCCTCGACTTTCAGACATTCGTTTAATGAACGTTCGAAATTACAGTGGCACTGAAAAAAATGACTTGTTTGCCACACTTAGAACCGTTGCGGCATACCCGTTGTCACTTCATCAAAATTCAGATACTTGGCAAACGGCATATATTTATGACGGTTGCCGTCTCCCAGATCATGTGATCATCACCCTTTGCAACCTTCTGACAAGCAAAGTCAATGGGAAAGCCTATTTTCACTTAGCAACTGTAATACCGACTTAGCAAGCGCAGTTATTTTCTTAATTGTGGCAAGAGAGGTCATAAAATGGAGTAAAATTCACTTAACCGTCTTGCTTAGCAACAGAAGTTTTGGGCTTGGTTGTGATTGTAAGTCGAGGGCTACTTGTATTAAATGAGAGCCTTGGTTAATTGATCTACAAGAAGGTCACTAATGGACTCTTTGTAGAATGTGCTAACATGAAAGAGAAGAAGAGAATGACTAAATAATCTTTGAGCCTTTAACGGCTGGTTTCTTTTTTGAAGGTGCCAAGCCCCCGTGTTTACACCATTGAACTGACCCATGGGGAGTTTATATGGCAAGTGAAAAGGAAATACAAGCATTTTCAGGAGCTGCATAGAGAACTCCTTCGATACAAAGCTTTTATCCGAATTCCCATCCCAACACGAAGGTGATTGCATGCAAATCTTTCTAAACTGGGGGTTTTGTTTGCGTGTAGGGTGGGGAAAGCACTCATACCTACCCAATTTTCCTCCAGTGGTATGCTATGGTTTGGTGAGAGCTCAGCCATTTGTAATGGCTTTGTGATTTTTCTCTCAGACAGTATTGTTCAGATTTGTATCAGCTTTAGCACTACAGTAGTCTTAGTATATCTGTGCCACCATTTGCCAAGAAGTTCCAAGATGGCATAGTTGGTTCTTTCTCTTTTTTAAAAAGAGGAACATATTGTTTAACTCTATGAGGTTGGATAAGCTAAAAGATAGTGAATTACCTAAAGTAGGGCCGTCATATTTGAATTATAAGCATGCAGATGGCTAGCTTTGTTGAGTACCTGATATCAAAGAAATACAGAAGGTTCTGAAGCTTTGCCACCACTAATTTTCTTCAGGGTTTTTGTAGTTTAAATATAATAGCTCTAATCTAAGACACTTCCTCACCGAACAAGATTTTGAATCCGTATTACTCCTACACTGATGCTCTAACCCAGAGAAAGATGGGTAGGTCTCCATGCAGTCTCCCAGCACATTGATTCAGCCCCTAAACACTCTCCAGAAGTTGCTGTTGTGATCTTATTAACACTGTTCTGACCCTATCCCTCCTTTAACTACTGCTGGCTTTCAGTGGTTAGTTTTATGGCATTGAACATAATGTTTCCAAAGGTTGGGGTACCCACAGATGCTTTTTCAAAAGGCAACTGGACTTTCTTTATTTTTTCTTGAAGACGTTTCGCTTCTCATCCAAGAAGCTTCTTCAGTGCACATTTGGGACAACCATGATCCGGATGACTGAGAATCTCCATAGACATTTAGGATGGGGGTACCGTTGCCAAAATTTCAGCAGGCCAAGAATTGGCTTCATGTAAATTAAGTTTCTTTGTGATTGCATGGGAATGGGATAGTCAAAATAAGCAATGGCTTAAAAGCAGTTATGAACATCTGTATCAAAGCATCATGCGCTATTATTATGGCTGGTCACATAGTCAGCCAGATGATTAGACTGCATTTTGCATTTTTGTCCACCTAGCAAGTCCTTCCCATGGATCTGCAATAGGCAGATATTGTTGTTTAATAACATTAAAGGTGTTATGGTTCCGGCTAATGAACACTTCAAAGAACTTCTAGGCATTTATTTTCCTAAAAGTCTTTTATTGTTACAAAATGTCGGCACAGGCACAACAAAGGGATGTTAGGATCTAAGTTTTCTTCTCTTGAGCAGTTAAATTATCAGCATGTTCCTTCCCTAAATTAGCCAGTCATATACCACATTATCCAATTAGTGTGAAGGTCATAGGTTTTCTTCCTCTTTCTTTCCCGGTCTTTACCCCCACCCCCATTATGCTCTGTATTAACCCCATAATTACCAGACAGTTCTGCATATTGTCAAAAGCAAGAATATACAATATTTGCAGCGTTGACAAAAGGTATCGTCACAATTTCCTGGTTTCCTGGCCAGCACTCTTAATCACTACATCAAACCATCTCTTTTTTTTTTTTATTAAAAGTTTTATAAGTTTTACAAAAGAAAAAGAAAAAAACAAAACAATACAAAGACAAAAAACATATACAAAGAAAAGAACTAAACATTACACAACAAACCCTCCCTTCCCCAACCTCCCCCAAACACCCCCCCTTCTCCCCGACCCCGAGCTTCCCAGAGCAGAATATAGGCTTAATTAAAAAACAATCAAAAAAATTATATTTTAAAATATATATGTATATATATAAAAATAAAAATTAAGAAAAAGCTATATAATATTTTTTAATATCCATTTTAAACTGTATAAATTTTATCCATTTATCCCAAACAGCAAGAAATTTCTCTTGCGTTTGTTGCTTTAAGAAAGCCGAAATCTTTGCCATTTCCGCCAAATAAGACACTTTAAGAAACCATTCCTGCAATGTAGGCAAAGATTCCTTCTTCCAATATTGTCCAACTACATCAAACCATCTCTTATAATACTTGTTTATTATTGTTAAGAACCAGGTGATCACCAGGACTCTGGAAAATTCTTTGGCAGTAAATCCTGAAGAAGACTGCCTTAGCTAATGAAGATTCTCTTCAAAGAAGCAAAATTGCTGAGACAGCAGTTTTATGGGCAATGTAAATGCAAAAAATTAAACTCTTGGTTTTATTATCTACTGTATTTGTGATCTTTTCAGTCAGTTCTGGACAAATCCCTGCAATTTTCATGGCAAAATTCCAGAAATGGCTTGCCAATAACTCCTTGTTAGGGATGAGAGCATGCAACTTTCCCACCATCATCCAACCAGTTTCCAAAGAATTCATAGTCTTCTAGTTTCTAGTTTGATGCTTTAACCCCTGCACCAAACTTGCTCTCTCTTTGTTATCTACTAATATTACTATTACCTACTATCTACAAGGTGACCTAGAAAAATTAATGGTGTGAATGTTTAGTTTAGAGATGATTGAAATCATCACTTTCGGACCAAAGTAATTGTTCAAAATTTTCAAGCTATATCAGAGATTGCCAGATTGATTTGGTTCAGAGATGTTGTGGTCCATTCACCCATAGATTTGAATATCTAAACTGGCCTGATTTAGATACCTGAATTTTGTTGAATCAATTCCAAATGAACTTGGTGATTCCAGGTAGAACAACTCAGTAATCCAAATCGGCTTTATGATTTTAATTGTTTGGACATATTTATTGGCTAAGATAGAACTTAATCGTTTATGTAAGTGAAGTGTGGTAAGGTTATATTTTGGACATTTTGTGCTGGATGAAAATACAAGCCTGAAGGTGCACATGCAATTAATGTATCGATGTATGTTTTATGTTATGTTTCCCAGTAATTAAAGACATTTGAATCATTAGCTGCAAGTGTTTTCTTTTTAACAATGAGGATATTTCTATTGGCAAATTCATCTTTCATATCTGGGACACATTCAATGTTGCATTTTTAGACACACTGTGCAGAGACAGACTATCAAAAGGGGAGAAGCAAGACAAATGCCGAGTCTTCCACGCACCTCTGAAAACATGGTCAGAGAAGATCATCTCTCCAGTAGAAGAGTAAGATCATTCATCTGAAAAATCAGTTTTAAGTTGTTTTTTAATTTTAATTTTAGACTTTGGTTACATATCTAATTATACTTTCTATAAATGAGGTTATCCATATGTTTCATGCATAGCATGTCATTTAGTAATAGTAGTAAAGTTGGAAGGGACCTTGGAGGTCATCTAGTCCAACCCCCTGCTCAGGCAGGAAACCCTACACCATTTTGGACAAATGGCTGTCCAGTCTCTTCTTAAAAACTTCCAGTGTTGGAGCATTTACTGCTTCTGGAGGCAGGCTGTTCCACTGATTAATTGTTCTCACTGTCAGGAAGTTTCTCCTTAGTTCTAGGTTGCTTCTCTCCTTGATTAGTTTGTTCCTATTTCACTGCTCCCTTTACATTTGTAATTGATAAAGCTAGAGAGCTGGAGAGCTGAATATCTCTTATAACTAAGCTTTGAGCCATACTTATGACCTCCTAAGTAGACTATTCTAGTGTATAGGGTAGATCAGAGGTCTTCAAATTTGGCCCTTTTATGACTTGTGGACTTCAACTCCCAGAATTCCTCAGCCAGCATGCTGGGAGTTGAAGTCCACAAGTCATAAAAGGGCCAAGTCCACAAGTCATAAAAGGGCCAAGTTTGAAGACCCCTGGGGTAGAGTGTATAGAGTTCAATCATTATTATCTAATCATTAACTTATCTAATATCAGTACTGACCTTAGTTCTATTTTTGACTGGGCTTCCCCAGAAGGAGGTAGTCTGCAACATTGGTGGTCCTTCTAGACTCATAGCTTACCAGTTGAAGCTATTCCTAGGAAAGCTGCTGGTGGTCTTCTTCATCACAAGACTCTTAGACTCCAAAGAGATTTAATGATGGCCTTCAGGAAGGTATGGAAGACTATTAAAATTGGGGAAGAAAAAACTGAATTGTTAAACAGAACTTGGAGATGCAGTTATGCAGTCCAGAGACTGAAGGAAAACCTGAAAATGATATCCCTTGATTTTGTTTAGTATGAAGGAGGAGGGAGAGAGAGAGGGAGAGAGAAATTTGAATAGAATTTCAAGGTTCTGTTTTTCCATCTTTTTTACAATAATAGTAGCATTCCTGAAATCCTTGAATTGCTTGTTTTTTTTAACCACACCTAACTAAGAAGCTTTGTAAATCCCACTTTTGCTGGGACTGGCTTTGAAGACAATACAGTTGTCTGTATGTAAGCCATCTGATATAGTCATAATGTACCAGCGGTGTGGCATTGCACTGGTTGTTGGTTTATTTCTTATTAAATTATGTAAAGCCTATATGGATTAGGGCCAAGAACAAATTTTGAAAGTTACTTCTCTCCTCTGAGAAATGGAAAGAGAAGATGAAGCAGTGAGAAGTCTACCCTTGAGAGTAAAGCCTTGGGAGTTGAAGTCCACAAGTCATAAAAGAGCCAAGGTTGCCTACCCCTGAACTAGAAGACTTCCAAGTTTCCTTCCAACTCTTGTTATTCTGAGTAGCCTCTGAAATACAAGCAGTACCCTCAAGTTTTGATGTTTATAAGCCTGCATTTGGAGACCGGAGCAAATTTGAGTGGGTACTGGCAATTATTACAAGTAGTCCTCAACTTATGACCACAATTGGGACCAGTATTTTCATTATTAAGCAAAGCATTTGTTAAGTGAGTTGTAGCCAGTTTTCCGAGCTTTTATGGCACGGTTAAGCGAATCATTCAGCTTAGTGAATCACTTGGTTGTTAAGCAAATCTGGCTTTCCCCATTGACTTTGCTTGTCAGAAGCTCCCTGCTAAGGTCATGAATGGTGATCACGTGACCCTGAGACCCTGCCTCCACCGTCAATACATGCCAATGGCCACACACCTGAAATTTGGTCACGTGACCATGGGGATGCTGAGATGGTTGTAAATGTGAGTCCCAGTTGTAAGTCACTTTTTCAGTGCCATTTTAACTTTAAACCAACGAATAGTTGTAAATTGAGGACTACCTAATTATCAGATTTAGGACGATTGCATATGTTCTATTTATTTACTTTTTACTCTTTGGATCCTGTGATTCTGTTTGATGGCTTTTGTAAACTGCTTGGATTCAGATGCTTGGTGTAGAACTGGCTGTCTTAAATGAGCAGCTGAGCCCAACATTTTTGTTATTAAGTGAAACATTTGTTAAGTGAGTTTTGCCCCATTTTATGACCTTTCCTGCCACAGTTGTTAAGTGAATCACTGAAATCGTTAACTTTGTAACACGGTTGTTAAGTGAATCTGGCTTCCCCATTGACTTTGCTTGTCAGTGGAGAAGCCAGAAGGTGATCATGTGACCCCAGGACACTGCAACCGTCATAAATATGAACCAGTTGCTAAGCATCCATATTTTGATCATATGACCACAGGGATCTGCAGTGGTCATAAGGGTGAAAAAAGATCATAAGTCACTTTGAACGGTCACTAAATGACCTGTTGTAAGACGAGGACTACCTGTACTGAACAAACAACAGTGTTTCCACAACTTCCTTACCAGGGATGTCTGTGGTAGGTGGGGCCTCAGAAAAAAGTCAAGATGGCAGTCATGACTCATGAGATCAAAGCCTTGTCACTTTTTAACATATATGCAATTCCTATTAAAAGGAATAGAGCTTTGAGCTCAAGATTGCAACTATCCTTCTTTTATTTTTTCTACCTCTCTTCTGTAAACACTCCCGATTATTATCTTGTTTAACAGAGAAAGAAATGGACCACAAGCATTGTATATAAAATTCATGCAGATGTACAGTACTAAAGAAGGATTATGTTGACATTCAAATCCTAGTCAAATTTCAAGCATGCTTTATATGCTAACTCCTGTCATGAAGATTTAAGGCTTTTGTTTTGTTTTGGATTTTTTGCTTAGTTTCTCTTTTCCAATCTTTTACTCTGTTTACCAGAAAAAAAGATTATCTTGAATTTAAAAGATTCTCTCTGAGAGCAGTTGTAGGCAGAGAAAAAAGGAGGAAAAAAACTTATTTTTTTTTTACCCTATTCTCAGCAAATCTAAATTCATCCTCCTGTCTTAAAAGTTAATTACTTGAGAAAAAAAAATCAGTTATCTTTTCATGTAAATCTCCAGCTATTTCAGATTGCTTTTTATCATGAGGCGTTTCTCAGATTCAACTGCAAAGTAAAATCAATTACCCTTTTGTTAATTATCTCATCTTTTCATTATCATTATCTTCACAAATCATTCTCCTGCTAAATCTTTACAGTATATGCTATTTCCTCTGCCTCCCTCTCCATTTGCTCTCTTTCTATCACCCATGCAACATTTCAGTGTTGTCATTCCCTCCAAAAGAGATCTTGTTGTTTTAGTTTGACTCTTCATAACAACTCTGAGCTTGGTTGTTTACTTACAGTCATTTCATTATCGGACTAGGTAATATCATCAATGCTACTGAATATGGGGCTTGTTCCCTGTTTATATACAGTGACTTGCCCTGCTAGTGTTGGTGAGGTTATGGTTTTCTCCTTGGAAGTTCCTTGATTAGGGATTGTTTTCTACTTGATTATTTTCCTGGTGTTAAATCCTGCTTATCTGTGTGCTGGTTGCTAGAAAGGATGTATTCCAGCCTTTCTGTTTCCTTCTTAGCTTTTGAATGGTATGTAAATGTGGTTTACCTCTATGTGCCTGTTGATGGCTAATTTGTCCAGTTTCCAAGAATTGCCTAGCATTTTTAAATTTAGATTAATGTAGGATGCTTAGTTTCCCAGTTGAAACTGTGGTTAAGTCTGCCCATGTGTTTGTAAGATTAAAAAGTTTTAATCATGCCTTCTGAATGGTAGTTGATATTCATGATGTGCTTTGCTAGTCTTCTGCCTGTCTGTCTTAATAAGGGCTGTTGCAATCCTTAACTGGTATGTTTGTTTCCTTTGTATATTGTATCTCTGTGTTTCCTTTGCAGAAACAACTGGAAGATTATCTCACAAATCTCTTAAACATGTCCCTGTACAAGAATTACCATGGAACAGTAAGTGACCTTCAGATGGTATTTACTTTTGCTAGTTAAAGTTATTCTGTGATTATTATCTGATTGTTTGGTAAAGAAAGATTAAATTAGCGGTGTGAGTTATAATTGACAACTTGATTTAAATATGTATAAATTATAACTTTAAGAGGTTTCCAAAAGGGTTTGGGCTGCCATATCAGAAATATTTGGGGTTTTTTTTTAGGTGAAAGAAGACATTTTGATTTTGTAAACCATAACTTATGTTTAGAACAATATAAACCTAGCTAGTTACAACTTTTTCAGCAAATCATGGTTAAAGAACTATGCTAATCCAGCCAATCTGAAATTTATGTGTAATGTTCTTTATGATATCAAGGTGTTATTGGCTGAATCTTGTGTTGTAAAGTACTGCTGTAATGGAGAAATTAGCTCCCATTTTTCTTATTTCCTGCTTATCTTCTTGATCTCTGTTTTCACTGCTTTTTTTTATAAAGGATACCCTCTCATTCATTGACTTAGCATGTGATATGATCCTCAAAAATATAACATTCATAATATGTGTATATTAAGGAGCATATCACTTAGATGTTTACCAAAGTTTAGGATTCAGTAAATTTGTGAGAACTCATAGGCAACTATATGTAGTCCTCATTTAGTGATTGCCTTGTTTTCCAACCATTCATAGTTACTTCAGTGATGAAAAAATAACTTTGCAGCCAATCTTTGTATTTATAACCTTCACAGGTCCATAAAACAAAGGAAAACTGAAGTAAGATCATAAACACGGTTGTCATTTCAGTAAACAACGGAGTTGTGGCCCCAATTGTGGTTGCTAAATGAGGACTACCTATACTATTGAAGAGATTCCTACTCTTTTCTATGTTATAACCAAGAACCCAACTATCTACAAGGTGAGAGTTGTGGTGACGCAGTGATTAGTATGCAGTATTGCAGGCTAATTTTGCTGACTCACCTGTTCAAGGTTGACTCAGCCTTCCATCCTTCCGAGGTTGGCAAAATGAGGACCCAGACTGTTGGGGGCAATATGCTGTAAACCACTTAGAGAGGGCTAAAAAACACTTGAAGCGGTATATAAGTCTTATTGCTATTGCTACCTCTACTTCACTAATCACATGCAAATGTGGGAATCTGAATTAACAAAAGTTTAATACGATAAAGCTCAGCCACAATTTTCTCTTTCAGTTTCTCTACCTGTTTTATGGAATGTTGCATAAAAGACATTTCTGCTCGAAACAGTGAAGAGTCTATTAGGCAGAGAACAATGCCGTCAGAAACACTTGAATTTCTATGTATAGAGCAGGGGTTCTCAACCTTGGCAACTTTAAGACTTGTGGACTTCAACTCCCAGAATTCCTCAGCCAGGTTTGCTGGCTGAGGAATTCTGGGAGTTGAAGTCCACAAATCTTAAAGTTGCCAAGGTTGAGAACCCCTGGTATAGAGGCTGTGTATCTCTACTTCTAACTGTTGGATGTAACAAGAGACAACTGTTTATGACATGTTGCATTCCTGGAATTGTCTAGTTTCCATTACTTGAAACAGAATGCTGAACTAAACAACCCAACAGCTCCCCTCCTTTGTTTTTCAAGAGGTGATTATAATTTGTCACCTGTTTATGTAGGTTTGAACTAGTGTACATGTATAATAACATAATTGCCTTCTGTTCATAAATGCAGTATTATGCCAACTTGGCACTTGGAAATGTTGAGTCATTGGAGAGGATTTAAGTACACAGTGCTGCAGTGTAAAATTTCGCTCCTGACATGTTTTCACCTCTTACAGTGGTTCTCCAAGGCAGGTGTTCACTTTGTGGAATTTTACTGCTTGTTCAACAATTAATTTCTGGTAGCAGGAAATAATTCAAGTCCACTGAAGAATTATTTCAGGGGCAGAGTGTTGGATTCAAAAGGACAGTATACATGCACAGAAAGGAATACATGGGTGTGCCTGGACACGTATCCCAGCAATAATCTTTCTTTGTTCTGCACATCCTGAAGAATAAAGTCACTTCCTGTATTAGGGAGTACATTTAATTACCAGATACTGTCTAGGTCATGGTGGCGAACCTATGGCACAGGTACCAGAGGCGGCACTCAGAGCCCTCTCTGTGAGCACACGTGCCATCGCCCCAGTCCTAGGCCTTCAGCTGGGTTTTATAAAACCTTTTTGCTTTAGGCCTCCACCACCGTGTGCAAAAAAAAAAAAAAAGGTTCAATCAGTCACTTTCAACTTCTCGCAGAAAAAAAAAGATCTTGCAAAGTTGGAATTGATTGATTGAACCTTTTGGTCCCACCCAGTCTGCCGTTACCACCACAGCCATGCCCATCCAATGGCCATGGCTACCCAATAGGCCACACCCACCCGGCACTCGATGATGCATAAGTGGGTTTTGGGTTGCAGTTTGGGCACTCAGTCTCTAAAAGGTTCACCATCACTGGTCTAGGTTATGGTCTTCCAGCATTACTGTTTGTGTACTTGATAGGTTTGTGGCTTTTCAGCATTACTGTTTGTGTACTTGATAGTTTGTGGCTTTTCTGCCTTTCTGCCTTCTGTTGCAATATTGATTGCTGAATTACAATCCAGGATTCATCCTGAATCCCATTTTACTTATCTTTTATATTATTCTCTTGGATGCTTTGATTATAGTCATTGTTTATGCCAAAGATCCTCCGATCTGTTGGCCTTTTGTAGTTTTCAATGATGATGGATGGTCAACAGTGTGTTTGTAAGACTTTCTCTTGGGTGCTTTTTTCATCAGTGATGATCAGCTGCATCCATTTGTTCACTATACAGCAAGGTCACTAATTCTCATTTGAAACCAATAACTGCTTATTGATTTGGTAATTGTGAGCTGTTTACCCCAGGTGGTAGTTTTGTAATTGCTGCATTTTTAAAAATTGCACTACATCTCTGTAAACGTGCATATAAGCATTGTAAAGAAAGAGATAAACAATCTGTGTCTTGCATACGGTGCTTCACTTGGGATTCCTATAGCCAAAGTGAGTCGGTGGGGTTAAAAATGTTGGCCCAGTTTTTCTGCTATTTGCATGTGGAGGGAGAAATTAGTGCTTTAAGCCCTTCTCTCTCCTCAAAGGGCAATTCACTCCATTAACAGAAGATTAAGGCCAAAGTGGGTGTCTTAAGTCAGAGCACAAATCCTCAATATGTTAAGCTAAGAATGTGGTCATAATCATAATTGCCTTTGTTTCTAGCTTAAAAGAATCTGAATTGTGTGTTTCAGAGGTAGCACGAAAGATTCTTTGGGACTTGCCTCCACCAAACAGCTGTTGCCAATTCACATTTAATTCTCCCTTCCTCTTAGAGGAATTTTCCCTACATGTTTCTCTTGTTCCATCAAGAGATGTTGGATATTGACACTGAAACCTTCACAGGCCTTACTTTATAACCAAATTCATTGCAAAACCTGGTTGAGAACTTGAGTATTCCTTGAGATGGCTAAGGGAATTTCTAACTTCAGATGTAGGCATAGAACAGAGGTCTGCAACCTTGACAACTTTAAGATTTGTGGACTTCAGCTCCCAGAATTCCTCAGCCAGCTATGCTATTCTGGGATTCTGGGAGCTGAAGTCCACAAGTCTTAAAGTTGTCAAGGTTGCAGACCTCTGGCATAGAAGATATTACTTTGCTGTCCTTTATGGGATTTTGCAGCTGTTAAGCTCAAGGCATTCTACAGTACTTTTCTGCAGTACTGTTTCTCTTAATGATTACTCTGTAGACATGAAAAGATGGCAGAACCGCTGTCCAGAACTGCTCCATGCACCAGTACTTAGAAGGCAAGGGCTGGGCAGCACAAGCAAACAACAGCCAACAACTTAAAAGCCAGCCATCAACACACCCCTGTCAGCATCTAAAAAGCCACATACATCAGGCACTATAAATGCCACACACAGAACAGTATGCATTCTGCTAGAGAGAAGTTTCCTGAGGATGGCCTCTCACATGAGTCCAAAAGCTTGGAAGACAAAACTAACCCAGATTGGATTCTGCAACAAATCTTTCTGCTTAATATGTTGACAAGTCTAATCTAGGCAGCTAGTTTGTTTCAGTACATTTTCTTATCTAGAGACAACCATATTTAACAATGTTCCACTAACATGGCTAATATATATTTTTTAATTTTGGCCCCAAACCATGTATGACAGTACAATATATGATTATAGCCAGTTTGCCTTATTCAACAAATAATTATAAAACTAAAAGGGTCGGACACGACAACGCAACTAACAACAAAAAACATAGCTAGCACAATGTGTAAACATGGATACTGTTTGTTGGAGAAGCCATAGTGCCTTTTTCATATTTAACACTAAAGCCATATAGTCTAGCTTGGATTACTGTGATGGTTTAAGTTCATCACAGTAACCCAAAACCAAATAAATTAGTTCATTATTTATTAAAATATCTGAATCAGGGTTTGGCTCAAATATGGTTTGTAATTCCAGGAATAATGTATATTTTCCCCCATTATGGAGATGGCAACACCTGTATGTGTCTTGTCCCCAATAGAGGTTTCCTGCTGACCTCATCAACAACAACAACAACAGCAGAAGTTATCCAACCTTTGACAAATGCAAACATTCCAAAATATATCAGTACAAAATTATAATGCTACCATCTACAGGCAATACAAATACCCAAGAAGAAGGAATTTTGTATCATTGTGGAGTTCTTTCTGTTCTCTAATCTTGGTTGTTTCCTTGCAGATGTTTTGTTGTCTAATCAGGTAACATCCTCAGTGAACTGGTGATGTTATCTAGCTGGGTAATAAAATGTCTGGAAGTAAACAACCGATTTCAGAGACCACTAAGAATTCCACAGTTCAAATCTGAGCTATATTCCCTTTTATTAGCCTTGCATCATTCTTAATCTGAGTAAGACCTCAACCCATAGCTTGCTTCTCTGCAGTTTTCAGAGCATCACAACAACAATTTTGTGGAAGAAATTTGGGCTGAGAAATGGTGGTCATTCAGTATCCTAATAAGGTATAATGGTTGAATATAATCTTGGGTTTTCTCTGTCCTCAGCTTAACCACTAAAACACACTGGTCCTTTGTTTATAGAAGATTCTAGGTTCAGTTCCTCTCTGGGAGAAATAATCAAGAGTATAAACATTGGAGAAGCTTCTAGATGAATTCTGGGATATCTGCCATTATTCAGAGGCTGTGTTGCCATAACATGCCTACTGATGGTTTTCTCAACCCAGGTCTCTGGTTTTGGACCAACCCTACAAAGATTGGATTTATACAACATACTGAATGCATTTAGCTTGTTTGCGGTTCTGCATTTTGTGTAGAGGTCACAGAATAAACAAGATGCGTCCGGATGAAACTGACTTAGCTTAAGGCCACTTTTTCTATTCTCCTGGCCCACAACAAGTTCGACTTCAGAAGATAATGGTCAACATGGAACTTTTCAATAACTTTTGCTCTGGCATTTATGGCAAGATTAAATGTTGTAGAATCCTACCTGTTTCACTGCTATTTTCATATGGGATCCTATCAGGTGAAAGAAGTCAGGAACCAGGATAGAAAGTACTGCACCTTTATTTCATACTACATATACATAAGAATCTGAACCACTAATGATCAAGGTGAATTGGTCCCAGATAAAACTCAAGTGACATCAAAGGGGCCTGAATTTAAGTCTCTTATGAGAATGTAGAGACTTCAAACTGATGATACATTTAACCCTGCCCTCAGGCTTGGCCTAGTTGTCTCCTACAGATCCCCTGTCACAGGAAATAAATATCTTGTTTTGGCTGGAAATTGATTTAAGCATCTCAGAAACATTGTCGTAAAGCAATACATAGACTATTTTTGCATTAAATTAATGGAAAATGTTCCCTTTCCCTTTGTATTTCACTTTTCAGATGGAATTCCTTGGTGTAAGTCAGCTGTCATTCATCCATGATCTAGGACCTAAAGGCATGTAAGTCTTGGCCTCTTTATGAATATGTTTATTTATTTCTGTTTCCTGTTTTCAGCTTCTGGTTTAGAGAACATTTAAGTAGAACATATAACTGCTCTGGAATGTAGGGCAATTATGTATGTATGGTGCCATTCTTTTGTTTGTTTACTTAATTTCTCACATTTCTATAGTTGCCCATCTCACAACAAAGTGATTTTAGGCAGCTTACTGTACAACAGAAACAATCCTAAAAATCCAAATGTAAAATAATTAGGATTTAAAAAACAGCCAGCAATATTATTGCTGTAACAAGATAGTGAACAGAACTGATGTTAAAAACAATACAGACATTTCATTAACTCACCATTGCATTGAGATCCTCAGGCCTGCTGACGCAGCCATATTTTAAGGCACCTCTAGGAAGATGTCAAGGGTGGGGCAAATCTCACCTCAGAGGGGCAGACAATATTCCACAGGGTAGGTGCCACAGCAAAAAAGGCCCATCTTCTTTTGTAGACAGGACCCACAGCATACTTCTTCTGCCTGACCTGACAAGACAAGTAGATATAATCAGGTGGAGGCAGTCCCTCAGGTAAACTGGCCCCATGCTAAGAAGGACTTTAAAAGTCAAACCCAGCATTTTGAATTGGACTTGGAAGCAAACTGGTAACCAGTGCAGTTCATAGGACAGCAGTGTTTCAAAAGTGCTTTTTTAAAAAGGAAAGCGGCCTTTCTTGTTTTTCCTTGAAGATATTTCAAGTCAGAACTGAAGAAGCTTCTTGGATGAAAAGTGAAATGTTCTCAAGGAAAAATAAAGGAAGCCCAGTTGCCTCTCGAAAAAACATCTTTGGGAAAATCACAATCCAGATGACTGAGAATCTCCATAGACATAGGACAGGAGTGTAACATGTGCCAGTCTGGAGACACACATAGCTGCCTGTCCTGCTGCATTAGGCACCAGCTGAAGCTTCTGGATATTCTTGAAGGGCAGTCCCCGGTAGAGCATAGTACAGTAGTCCATTTGGGAGGTGACCAAGGCATAAGTAATTGTGAGCAGTCCAGGAACTGGTGCACAACACAAAACACAAGCACAAGGGCATTGAAGCTGTACGTATAACCACACATATGCCCAGCTGATGCAGATTTCTGATCTTTCAAAGCTTTGGTAGGGAGAATTGGCTAAACGTTCAAGTTGTATGCAGAAAGACACACAAGTGACAACACTTAATCAATGTAACTAATTTTGAAAAAGCTAAGCAGGGTAGCATGTGGATAACACTGTATGGGAGAACACTGAGAAATCTTAGAACTGTACAATAGCTGGAAGAAGGTATTGATAAGCTACATTCATGCTGTTGCAAGAAAACAGTATGGGTGTTTGGGTGTGTGTCCATGTAATCACCAGAAGCTATGCTCAACCTGAAGGAGATTTTATGCAGAAAGAGATTTGCAGGATGAGAAGCTGTGAATTTTTCAGCCACCTCCTGCTTCTATTTCTGTAGCAACTAGAGTTAATGACAACTTGTCGTGAAAGATTTCCCCCCTCTAATTCCTGCCAACTACAACATTGCCTAAAGTGAGGGTGAACTGATGACGTGTATGTCACAGGTGACATGCCATGCCTCCAGATCAAGAGCAACCATTTACATAACCTGATTAAGAAAAAGCTATGAATGTGTGCATGAAATCATTACAACTTGTGAATTCCAGAGAGTTGAAGGCAGATTCTAGCTGAATGTTCTTTAAAAAAAAATGGAATTCCTAATTAAAAGAATTCAGCAGAACGTTGGCAAGCTTTCCTTTGCTGATATATTTGCTGGATATATTCAAGCAGAGACGACGCAACTTTCTATCCAGGAACATTGGATTCCTGTCCTGAACAGGGGATTGGATTTGATAACCTAAACATCTGCCCCTAGCATTACAGTTCTGTAAATCTGAAACAGACACAGCTTTATAGTCGGCCATGAATAGACTTGATTGTACTAGCTGGCTCTACTATGCTTCACCACGTGGTTCTTTCAATGCTGGCTTATTTCATATTTATTGTATTATTTGCCTCTGGCTGGTAATCCAAGAAACAAATCTTAAGGGACACATGCTTTGCTTTTAGTTTAAGGCTTTCACTTGTTACCAACCAAAGAAATAAGCAAGCCATCCACTGAGAAATAGATTTAGGTTAGAGCATGATCTGGTGCATTTATTGTCAACCAAGCATAAATTGTGATTGTTTGAATGTACCCAATTCAAGTGTTGACACTTAAAGTCCTGCAGGGCAAAGGCCCAGGTTATCTTGGCAAACTTCTTCTCCAGGTAGACTCTGCCCAACCTAGTCATTCAGCCTGGGATGGGATATTGTGGGTACCCTGCCTTCTGAGTTTAGAGGCGAAGAAAGCCAGAAGCACAGCTTTGCAGTGACCACCCAACCCTCTGGGGCTAAATCATATGAACACTACATTTGGCATATTCAGGTTAGCAATGAAACGATTCAGACAGCCTTTTGGAGTTTGAAAACCTATGCACAGGGCGCCAGTGAGTTTTATGTTAATTTTATGTTCAGTTTTCACTCTGTAAAATTTGATGGATTTTACTGATGCTTTAATATTGGATTCAGTAAGGAAAGAGTATATATAAGTATCGCAAATAAGTAAACCTTGCAGGCAAATTATAGAAATGGTTCCTGATATGAAAAAGGAAATGCATTGGGGGTCTCTTTCTTCATCTTTGAAATTGGTTGGGAAAAAACCCTGCAGGATTGGACTTTGTTCAGTGATATCCAGTAGAGCAGTGTTTCTCAACCTTGTCCATTTGAAGATGTATGGACTTCAACTCTCAGGATTCCCCAGCCATTCATGGTGGTTGGGGAATTCTGGGAGTTGAAGTCCACACATCTTCAAGTGAACAAGGTTGAGAAACACTGCAGTAGTAGGAAAAAAAAACTCACAAATAGGTTTTTCTTCTAAAGATTTGCTAAATCATTGCACCCCCTTTTCTTTTCTTTGTTTCCAGAGAGGGTATGATTATGAAAAGATCTGGAGGACACAGGATTCCAGGCTTGAATTGTTGTGGGCAAGGAAGGCTATGCTACCGATGGTCAAAAAGGTACTTTTGTAGAAATTCTGAATTTCTTTCTAGATGCTCTTTTCCAACATTAAGCTGAATATATTAGCAGCAAAGGGGAAAAAAAGCTGCAGGTGGTACAAGTAATTTTTGCTCTCTTAACAGCTGTCTGGTACGTTTTAAGCAGAAGAAACATTTTGAAAAAACCTGAATGATATTACTCTCATCTAAACCAGAGATGCAAAACAAGTGACAGATGGAGTTGTATATATTAAATTGGACCCCTTTTGCACTCAGTTTCATGAATTACCTGGCAATAACTCATAGCTCACCTTTATTTAAGCACCAGGAGCCCATTTTTAATACTTTTCTGCTTTGTTCCTTTTCCTTTCAGAAAGACCAATAGGGATCAAATTTTTTAACCTTAAAAACAGCAAGGACACAATGTGGGGGCAGGGAATAATGAATCCAGATATTTTTTTCAGAACATACTGTCCAGATAGGTAGGACAAACACAAATTTTAATGTAATTAAACAAATAAATACAGTTCAGATTAGTTAGCCTTTATTACAAGGCTAACAGTTGGTGTACCCCAATGCTTTGTGCAAAAGTCAGTATAGAGATTCACAGATGGATGACGTGTTCAGGCATAGCATGAGAATCAAATGCATTAAAACTACTGTGTTTAGTTGATAACTGGGATTCATCAATCAATTCAAAACATTTTAATTTTAAAGACAATGCCCTCAGTTAATGTCCTTATTATTACAGAGAGCCAGTCTGGTGTGATGGTTAAGGCACCAGGCTGAAAGAGGGAGATCATGAGTTCTAGTCTCATTCAGGCACAAAGCCAAGTGGGTGACCTTGGGCCAGTCACTCTCTCTCAGCCCTAGAAGGAAGAAGACAATAGCAAACCACGTTCAAAAATCTTGCCAAGAAAACTTCAGGCATTTGCCATGAGTCGATATTCTCTTGAAGGCGTGCCATACACACACACACACACACACACACACTATTACTATTATTCCTATTTGATGAACAATCAATGCATACTTTTCTTCTTAAAATGAAAGATTCATTGATTAGGAATTAAAACACCCTCCTACAAAGGAACAGAGTAAATTGCACTTCAGGTTAGCAGCTAACTAAGCAAATTATTAATTAAATTTAAAGTGACAGTGTATACTTATAAAATATGCCACAGCCTTACTTCAGGCTTGTTTTCAGGTAGGAATGGCATTCTGCTTATTAACTATGGCTTCTCTAGTTCATTTTCTGTCATTATTTTAAATGCAAATAAAATATTTTTTAAAAAAAACCTGATGGTTTCTCTCATTGGAAACAGTCTCTTTGTAGAAATAGCCTCAGTGGGTCCGGCTTCAAAGGAGTGCTTCAAGGCAGCCACCAGCACTTTTTAATTTTTATGAAATGACTGTGGAGCCTAGGGAAGGCCCAAAGGCATCTCTGGAAATACAGAAAAGACTAAGCTGCAGCCTTGCACTTTGGCTTGCTGGCAGGTCCATGGAAATCTGGAAAGACTGTTATTGTGACCATTGTCTGGCTAATCTGTTCCTTGGCCTATATAGACACTTTCCTAGTTGGGCTGGGGTTTAAGTCTCATCTAATATGATATGATGGATGATTGAGGGAACTATTATGTCTAATCTAGCAAAGAGAAGGAGTAAGGAGATATGATCTATATGGAGGGAAGTGTGTAGTGGGGTGCCCCAGGGCTCTGTTCTGGGCCCAGTACTCTTCAATATCTTCATCAATGACTTGGATGAAGGGATAGATGGGGAACTCATCAAATTTGCAGACGACACCAAGCTGGCAGGAATAGCCAACACTCCAGAAGACAGGCTTCAGATACAGAAGGATCTGGACAGACTTGAACACTGGGCACTAACTAACAAAATGAAATTCAATGGTGAAAAAAGCAAGGTTCTACATTTAGGCAAGAAAAACCAAATGCACAAGTACAGCATAGGTGGCACCATGCTCAATAGTAGTAACTGTGAGAGGGACCTCGGAGTCCTAGTAGACAATCACTTAAATATGAGCCAGCAGTGTGCTGCAGCTGCCAAAAAGGCCAACACAGTGCTAGGCTGCATTAACAGAGGGATAGAATCAAGATCACGTGAAGTATTAATACCACTCTTCAATGCCTTGGTAAGGCCACACTTGGAATACTGCATCCAGTTTTGGTCACCACGATGTAAAAAGATGTTGAGACTCTAGAAAGAGTACAGAGAAGAGCAACAAAGATGATTAGGGGACTGGAGGCTAAACATATAAGGAACGGTTGCTAGAATTGGATATGTCTAGTTTAACGAAGAGAAGGACAAGGGGGGACATGATAGCAGTATTCCAATATCTCAGGGGCTGCCATAAAGAAGAGGGAATTAAGCTATTTCTCCAAAGCACCTGAAGGCAGGACAAGAAGCAACGGGTGGAAACTAATCAAGGAGAGAAGCAACCTAGAACTAAGGAGAAACTTCCTGACAGTTAGAACAATTAATCAGTGGAACAGCTTGCCTCCAGAAGCAGTAAATGCTCCAACACTGGAAGTTTTTAAGAAGAGACTGGACAGCCATTTGTCCGAAATGGTGTAGGGTTTCCTGCCCGAGCAGGGGGTTGGACTAGATGACCTCCAAGGTCCCTTCCAACTTTACTACTACTATTATTATTATTATTATTATTATTATTATTTATTATTATTATTTATGATAGGTGGCGCAGCAGTTAGAGTGCAGTACTGCAGGCCACTTTAGCTGACTGTGTCCAGCAGGTCAGCGGTTCAAATCTCACCAGCTCAAGGTTGACTCAGCCTTCCATCCTTCCGAGGTAGGTAAAATGAGGACCCAGATTGTTGGGGGCAATGTAATATATATATATATATATATATATATATATATATATATATATATATATATATATATATATACATACACACACACACACACACACACACACACACATTGCTTACTGGTGTACACTGCTTAGAGAGTGCTTGCACTTAAAGCGGTATATAAGTCTCATAAATAAATAAATAAATTCCAGTACTTAAGGGTCTGTCACAGAGAAGAGGGTGGACCTGTTCTTCAAAGCACCTGAGGGCAGGACAAGAAGCAATGGGTGGAAACTAATCAAGGAGAGATCCAACTTGGAACCAAGGAGAAATTTCTGGCAGTGAGAACAATTAATCAGTAAACCAGCTTACCTCCAGCAGTTGTCAGTGCTCTATCACTTGAGGCTTTCAAGAGGAGACTGGACATTCATTTGTCTAGAGTGGTACAGGGTCTCCTGCTTGAGCAGGGGGTTGGACTAGAAGAGCTCCAAGTTCCCTTCCAACCCTATTATTATTATTTTATGTAATAGTAATGTGTGCCTTGCCTTCCCCTGCCCCAATTGCATAGTGGGCATTAGAAGCTACGACGGATCTTCCCCAAAGATACTTACAACCCAGCTTTGAGGTTCCAACAGCAGTACACACACATACACACGTTGTCACATGACTACATTTTGGGCACTACGGAACCAGCTGATTGATTGTGGCATTCTGTAATCACATGACCACAATTCATGATGTTTTTTTTTATGATTTCTGACCTTTTCACTAATTTCCAGCAAAAAAAACCATGCCCATAGGAACAAATGGATTTGCTTTGCAATCATTGTGTATGCTTTATAACCACTGCAATAAAGATCATAAAATCAGATTTGTCACATAGGTGCCCCAATTTATAACCATCATGGCTAATGGCAGAAATTCTAGGGTCCATTATGGTGACACGTTGAGAACTATCTGTACTCCTAATAGTAGCAATAATGATATTAACATTATTATTAGCATTCTCCCAGATTTAAGTAACCTTACAGTTTCTAAGATGCTGTCAGAGTTCTGTGTTTGTTTTGCTTTTTTCTTCAAGTTCTATAAATTCAGTACCAATTTATTCTTGGTCCTCTTTCGCTTCCTGATTCTCTTCCCAAGGAAACCTACTGGGAAATAAATCCCATCAGACAGAGTTGGCATTCTCTGAATGGGTGAGGATATGACCACAGCAATGCCTAAACTGTCTGGGCATTTCTCTCTCTCTCTTTTTTAGTAGCACTCTACTTTAAGCCTTTTTCTTTTCGTGCTTTCTTCCTTTCTTTCTTTGAAACACGTTTTGCCTTATAGACTCAAGGAAGATGCAGTACAACCTTGGCTACCAATTTGCTGCCCAATGTTCCCGGACAATTGTTGTCCTTGGAGAGCACTGGAGTGTCCTGAAACATTTACAAAATCTCAATTCAATTAGCAGCGTGAAGACAATGTAGGTTTTGTCCTGGAGTACATGGCACCATCCAATCACTGTCGCCAATAAGCAGGCTGGACGTCCGCAGTTGCTCATTTGCATTTTATGGAACATCAAGTCACAGCCTCCCAAAGCAGAGAGACAAAAGCTGATCTTCCCAAGACAGAAAATAACAGAATCTGCTGCATGCACAGTCAGCAGGTCGAACTGTTCTTCCACCACCACCCCATTCAAATTAAATAGCTTTTAAGATGCTAGGCTGCATTAACAGAGGGATAGAATCAAGATCACGTGAAGTATTAATACCAGTTTACAGTGCCTTGATAAGGCCACACTTGGAATACTGCATCCAGTTTTGGTCACCACGATGTAAAAAAGATGTTGAGACTCTAGAAAGAGTACAGAGAAGAGCAGCAGGATGATTAGGGGACTGGAGGCTAAAACATATAAAGAACGGTTGTTGGAATTGGGTATGTCTAGTTTAATGAAAAGAAGGACGAGGGGTGACATGATAGCAGTGTTCCAGTATCTCAGGGGCTGCCACAAAGAAGAGGAGTGAAGTTATTTTCCAAAGCGTCTGAAGGCAGGACAAGGAACAACGGATGGAAACTAATCAAAGAGAGAAGCAACCTAGAACTAAGGAGAAACTTCCTGACAGTTAGAACAATTAACCAATGGGACAACCTGCCTCCAGAAGTGGTGAATGCTCCAACCCTGGAAGTTTTTAAGAAGAGACTGGATGGCCATTTGTCTGAAATGGTATAGGGTTTCCTGCCTGAGCAGGGGGTTGGACCAGATGACCTCCAAGGTCCCTTCCAACTTTATTATTATTATTATTATTATTATTATTATTATTATTATTATTATTATTATTATTATTATTAAAATGAATACTATCTCGAGGCTCACAAAAGCTGCATTTATGGTTGATTGGAAACCCTCTCACAGATTTTTTTTTTTGTCTCTATGTGTGAAACAAAAAACCATGAATATAACGTTTTATAGTTTTAGACTGACTAGATTAAAGAAAGAAATAAGTTATGTTGTAGCCCTAGAATAAGAAACCACTTTGTCCCAAAGGTGCTCTTTCAAGAGGCAACTGGACTTCCTTTGTTTTTCCTTGAAGTCATTTTGCTTCCCATCCAAGAAGCTTCTTCACTTCTGACAAAGAATGTCCAGTTGTCTCTTGAAAAATCACCGTTGGGACAACCATGACCTGGCTGATTGAGAAACTGCATAGACAAGAAACTACTTTGTATGTGTTTTTTTTTCTTTACTATTTTTTTCTTTCCTTGCACTTTTAATTCTCTCCTTGATTTCTTTCTTCCTTTCTTTTTTATCTGTATATTCGTATTAGTTTTTACTCTTTTTTTAAAAAAAAACCTTTTAATAAAATTATACTAAAGTGAAGCTCACAAAAGTAACAGAATTTCAGGCGGCCACCTGCTGCACTGTGCAAAACCTTGTGTAATTACACCAAATTCTCCTACAATCGTATACAGGTACCACCTAGCTTATATTGAGTTCAACTCTGGGCAATTCCATGGACATGTTATCTAACTTTCTTGGCTGTGATACAGAAATGATTTGGAACAGGCTATTCGGCAGACAGAAAAGGAGACAGCAATAAGTGGGTAAATGTTAATGGTTGGCAGATGGATGCTTCTCCCTAAGTAGCAAACAGACTTAGTTTTGACACTTTGCTATTAATGATGGCATGGCTACAGCACTTCTAAATTGCATGAAGAATTGGCACATGAGGTGATTTGGAACAAGTCATCATTCTGTAGCAACAAAGTGGAGAAATATACCAGTTCTGGTCCCATTGTGAAGAGGAACACTTTGAATGCTCCCACGACACATTGTGAATTCATAAGAATTAAAAGCTTCACGTAGGGAAAGCATGTGGACAGAGTATGCTTATGCTTCCCCCCCCCCCATGTGTCATTTCCTGTACCAAGAAATACAACTGTCAAGCAATGCACCATCACAGATGAAGAGGCAAAACATAAAAATAACAAGGTGTTACTAGTCCTTCTGAAGTAGTCTGGAGAAAACCTTCCACCCCAGTCATGATTTGAGATCAGTGAAGAGTTCTCCCTTCTCCTGTGGAAAACATGCATCCATTCTGAGAACTGGTTTTGTGAAGCATTCACTTTGGTATTCTGACTATGTATGTGCATACCCTGATGATAAAAATAGTTTGAATAGGAGACTTTCTCCTCCCCATTCCTCCCACAGCACTTAGGAAGTCTACACTGAACATAGCAAAATCTGTTCAGTCTTCTCCTATCCCAGTGGTTTTGTGTGTGTGTGTGTGTGTGTGTGTACATGCATGTGCACACACTTTTTCTCTCTCAGCTGCACAGCCAGTTGCTTAGCAATACATCTTTTCAAAGCTAAAGTTGCAGTCTCCTTTTTATAAACTTTAATGTAATTAAGTTAGTGTGTTTTATAAACAACTTTTACAGTAATAGCTGAGTTTTAAGGTGTTGAGTCTATAATGATGGGTGGAAGCGGTTCAAAACAATGTGCTCCAAAAATTGGAGACCAGGAATCACTTGCCAAACAAACATTGAATACTATTTTTGTTGAATCAAGTCCTAGACTTAAGGTGGCTTATGTTAGCAGAGCACATTGGTGAATGTGTCTTTTCTGAGTCACTACCAGCATTGAGGCTCAGAAGACCCAGTGAGTCACTGAAGAGCTTAGCAACTAATTATTGCCTAGGAAAATTTCAACCTGAGTTGCATGGATATGAAAAGTGCCAGAATGGAATATTCCACTCTACTTGGCCCTGGGGGATGTCATTTCTGAATTATAAAATCGGAGACATGGAGAAAATCACAAATGCAGAGCAGAAAGGAACAAGTATAAAAACTTTAGTCCAATTAAAAACTCCACTCCAGAGGGTAAAAAAAAGCACCCACATTAAATTGGGATAATGACAACATCTATAGAGCCACAGAAATATAACATTGAAACACTTAATTCTCACAGTTGTCTAATATGTATATATATCAACCCTTAGAGTGTGGCAATGGTATTATTATTTATTCTTAATATTATTTATTCCTTCCCCCTTTTATTGGTATTATGGTTTATGTTCAGACTGGATTTAGCACTTTTGTCCACCTATCAAGTCCTTTCTAAGGACCTGAGATAGACAGATATGTATTATGGTTTGTCACACAATCAGCCAGATGTTCAGACTAAATTTGGCATTTTTGTCTAGCTATCAATTATTTTCTCCATTGACTTGCAAGTTCACTGAATGCTTCTATCAGAGACAAATTCCTTGTATGTCTAATCACACTTGGCCAATAAAGTATTCAATTCAGTTCAACTTTCTAACTGCCCTATTGTTTAAGGGGGAAAAGGTGCTGCTAAATCAGGGGTGTTCAACCTTGGCAACTTTAAGACTTGTGGACTTCAACCCCAGAATTCCCCAGCCAGTAGGTTGAAGTTGAAGTCCACAAGTCTTAAGTTGCCAAGGATGGACATCCATGTGCTAAGCCTTTCAGGTTTGGAATATCAGTTCTGGTTTGCTTTAGACAATGTAACAAAAGGCAGCCATGTTTACAAAACTACATCTTTGTAACTGGAAATTGGATTACCCTTAGTTGAGTAAGACATTTGGTCCAGGGCTAGAAGCTCTCTCTTTTGGAATATTGCTACCTCTTAGCACAGTGGCCTCCAAATAGTTTTTCTGAAGAATTCATTCATAAAATTATCATCTTAGTCAGCCTTCCACATCATGCTACCAGCTCTGATTGTTATGTTGGAATTTCAAAACTTTAGCAACTTAGGAATTCCTAGCCAGCTGTTTTTCTTTGCGTCTGACCCATATGATTTCTTGCACACACCTAGTTCTTGTAGCAAAGTTATTAACAGAGGATGCAATGAAGGGTTTTGTGGTAGATGCTAATTAGCACGTAGAAGCAATGACCAGCCCAAGGTGACTCAGCTGACTCCCACACATAAAGGGGAACTATAGATCCTGGTGCTGAATTAACTCATTTTCTAAGTTTCTGCTATACAAGAGCCAGTTTGGTGTAATGATTAAGGTATCAGGTAGAAATTGGGAGATATTGAGTTCTAGTCCCACATTAGACCCAAAGGCAGCTGGCTGACCTTGGGCTAGTCAAGCACTAGAAAAAAGGCAACAGCAAACGACTTCCAAAATCTTGCCAAATAAACTGCAGGGATTTGCCCAGGCAATCGCCAGGAGTCAACAGTAACTTGAAAGCAAATAAACAAAAAAAAAAAGACTATACAAGGAACCATAAATTAAGGAAGTAGCTAAACAGTACATTAAGCCACAATCAAATAACAAAATGAATGAACCCAAATTACTGATTTGTATGTGAATGCAAATAACCAAATTTAGTAGGTTCTGTGAATGCATCTTTTAAATATTTAATTAACATATATTTGAGAGTATATCCAGGCAGTGAGAAGTTTGGGGGGGAGTTATGACTTTAATGTGGCGTTATACTGCACATACAGTGTAGGCAACAATATCTTTGCTTACTGTGTAGTTCCTAGATTTTTTGTTAAATAGAAATCAGTATATCAGATATATCAGAAGAATAACAGAGAGATAGAAACACGATCATGTGAAGTGTTAATACCACTTTACAATGCTTTGGTAAGGCCACACTTGGAATACTGCATCCAGTTTTGGTCACCACGATGTAAAAAAGATGTTGAGACTCTAGAAAGAGTACAGAGAAGAGCAACAAAGATGATGAGGGGACTGGAGGTTAAAGCATATAAGGAACGGCTGCTGGAATTGGGTATGTCTAGTTTAATGAAGAGAAGGACGAGGGGGGACATGATAGTAGTGTTCCAATATCTCAGGGGCTGCCCCAAAGAAGAGGGAGTCAAGCTATTTTCCAAGGCGCCTGAAGGCAGGACAAGAAGCAACAGTGGAAACTAAGCAAGGAGAGAAGCAACCTAGAACTAAAGAGAAACTTCCTGACAGTTAGAACAATTAACCAATGGAACAACCTGCCTCCAGAAGCGGTGAATGCTCCAAATGGACAGCCATTTGTCCGAAATGGTATAGGGTTTCCTGTCTGAGCAGGGAGTTGGACTAGATGATCTCCAAGGTCCCTTCCAACTTTATTATTATTATTATTATTATTATTATTATTATTATTAATAACCTAAAAGTAAGTCGAACTCTGTGAGAATCGAGTATATAAATATAAATAAAGTCTTAAGGGTCAGGTTAAGACAAAGCTGGTTTAGATGATTCATTGGTTACTTAACAACTGTAAATTGGGAGGGTATTAACTATACAGTACTTACTGCTGTTAATACACCTCAGTGAACTGAGTCTGGAAATTGCCTACCTGCCTTGTCTTCAGAACAGGAATAAGTGTAATTGTAACTATGCTTTACTTAACATAAAGCAATCCACAGAAAATAAGATACAGAAAAAAGTGTGCAGCAGGCAAATTGTGTTGCTTTAGGAACAGACTGGGGGAAAAAAGTATTGTTGGGATTATAGCAAACATGGTTTAAATGCGTTAAATGTTAATATGATTAAGTTATCAATATAATCTACTGGCTTTTTTGTACTTGTATTCCTTCCCCAGGTGGTTAGTGGTAAAAGACTCTTTCTTATTGTACATGAAACCAGACAGTGGAGCTATTTCTTTTGTCCTCCTGGTTGATAAAGAATTCAGCATAAAGATTGGCAATGAAGGACACAGAAACTAAATATGGGTTACGAATTGATAATCTTTCCAGGTAAGAAGTTCCTATAGTACCACATGGCTATCTCCCTCTGCAATTCTGATTCAGTGTGTTCCAAATTGCAAGTTTTCTACTGCTTGCTTATGGCAAATGGTGATTGTGTACAAGTGATAGATAGATAGATAGATAAGATGATGGAAAGCTGATGGATGGATGGATGTTTTTGATTCTTCTCCAGGTCACTGATTTTGAAGTGCAACAGCTACAGACATGCTCTTTGGTGGGGCCAAGGAATAGAAGAATTCATTCAGAAAAATGGCAAGAACTTCCTCAGACATCACAGATTTGGTTCCTATGCAGCCATCCAGGAGAACACATTAGCCAAGTGGTAAGAGAAGATGTTCCACTGTTTAATAGCTGCTGATAGCACATGGCTGTAGGTATCTGCAGCAGTGCGCCTCAGCTTTAGCCACTGTTAAGATGTATGGACTTCAACTCCCAGAATTCTCCCAGTCAACATTCTGGCTGGGGATTTCTGAATGCTGAAGTCCACATTAAAGTTGTCAGGGTTGAGAGAAAGACTAGTCTGTAGCAAGACAACATGTGTCATGTAGGGCATCGCACCAATGATGCAATTACGCATTTGTATCATGGTATCTGTTCCAAATACATAAGTCACATTGTTTGCAAGTTAATGTTATGATTCACATGTTTGGATGGACGGACAGACAGACGCACAGTCGTATGCACGCGGATGGCTATGTTGGTGATGAATCACCTATGGCAATTCTTCTCATAATGTAAGAAACAGGTTTTTGGGGAGGGGGGAGCAGGGGCAGAAAGCAACCCTGAGATCTGTGTTCATATCTACGCCAGCAGCATTTCTGTGCTTGTTTAGCAACAGTTATCCAAGGGACAACTGTTCTCCTCAGGATGTTAATAAATGTGGATGAGTCATACTTAAATCTCCATATGATGATTCAGAGTTTCAATGTAATTTTGTTTGTTCAAACAAAAGAAAAGAGAGTCTTCTCTGCCTTTGCCCCCACTGTACGTAACCACTTGCCCCATGAGGTGAGGTTGGCCTCTGCATTCTGGCCTTCCTGAAGAGTTGACCTGGCTCCGCCAACTGGTATTAGAGGATTAAAGAGCAGCCATGCAATCCTGGGGGAGCCTGGTGACTTGAGGGTGCTCCCTCCTCCTTTTAACTTGTTTTTAACTTTGTTTTTAAGTCTGTTTTCGACCCTGTGTTAACGATATTTTTTATGGCTTTATAGCAGTGTTTCTCAACCTTGACAATTTTAAGGCATGTGGACTTCAACTCCCAGAATTCCACAGCCAGCATTGCTGGCTGTGGAATTCTGGGAGTTGAAGTCCACATGCCTTAAAATTATCAAGGTTGAGAAACACTGCTTTATAGCTTTCATTTATAAACCGCCCAGAGTCACTTAGACAATGAGATGGGTGGTATCTAAATTTAATAACTAAAATAAAAATAGCTGTGAAGATTGTGTTCTGATTGATATTGGAATATTGGTTACTAATTGACTTCTTTATCACACCCCCGCCCCCGTTGAAAACATAAAAACTGCATCCGGTCCCCATTTAGCACAGCAGCATTTTGTGTGGTCAACTGGGTGCAGCCACAAAACTCAAAAGTAGGTTCAAGGTCAATGGCGCTCTTCTATTTGTTGGTCTCCAGCAGGTGAAGCTTAAATATATTTTATCTCTTCTACTGTCGCTCTTCAGCAATTGCTGCTTAAATAGCCTGCCGGGATTCATTGATGGCATATAGCCACCCAGCCCTGTTTTCCTTGAATTGTACAAATCCCTTTTTAAAACACCAAAACTGCTGGTCGTTGTCATGTTTAATGACAGCAATTTCCCCTGTATTACTATCTATGGAGAAAGCAATCCTTCCTCTGCCTTTGAGTTTCTTTAGTATTTAGTTTCAGTGGATGACCCCAAGGTTTAAGTCTGTGAAAGGAGAGAGAGAAAAAACTTTCCACATTTTCTACACCATGCATGGTTTCACATACCTCCATTATGTTTGTTTTCTACATACACATCTTTATAGCTCCGGGGGTAGGGGGGAAAGTTCTACAGTTATTGTTACAATCTTTTCTGCAAAAAGTCCTACAATTATTGCTTCAATCTTTCCTGGTGATGAAGATGTTCTCGTCCACTAATCATTTTCACTTCTTTCATTTTTCTGTGTTTCCTCCTTTTCTGTGCTTCTCCCAATATTCAAAACAAAACAAAAGTACTTTATATTGTTATCTTTTGCTTCCGGAGCCCTGCCCCTATTTGTGTAATCTTGTCATTCCTTCTAGGTATGTAAATGCCAAGGGGTACTTTGAAGATGTAGCAAATGCCATGGAAGCTGCCAAGGAAAGATTTTCATCACAGATTGGTGGTTAGTATTTAACTGACATGATCAGATTCCACCCTTCCTGCTCAGCCTCCTTCTAGCCTCTCAAGGTATATTTAATTATAATGTGGCACTGTTAGGGTCCTTTCACATGGAAACTTAACAGCAGGACCAGATGGTTTGGCAACATCTTGGAGGAAGAGGCAGAGAATAAGAGAAACAGGACACTTGGCTGAGGAAACAAAACGAGCCAACTAAAACTTTTAATCTAACAGAAATTACTTTAATGCAGTGTTTCCCAAACTTGACAATTTTAAGGCATGAGGACTTCAGCTCCCAGAATTCCACAGCCAGCAACGCTGGCTGTGGAATTCTGGGAGTTGAAGTCCACATGCCTTAAAATTGTCAAGTTTGGGAAACACTGCATTAATGTACTGACTCCTTTTCAGCTTGTCTCTTTTGCATGGGGAAAAAAATAAAAATGGAAAGTCTCCTATTGGTGTTTCTTGAACGTTTAGCAAGTACAGATAGTCCTTGCCTTACAACAGTTCATTTAGTGACCATTCAAAGTTACAATGGCACTGAAAAAAAGTGACTTATGACCATTTTTCAGAGTTCCAACCTTTGTAGCATCCCCATGAACACGCGATCAAAATCCAGAGGCTTGGCAACTGGTTCATACCTACGACCATTGCTGTGTCCCAAGGTTATATGATCACCTTTTGCAACCTTCTGACAAGCAAAATCAATGGGGAAGCCAGATTTGGTAACAACAGAGTTACTAAATTATCAACTGCAGTGATTCACTGAACAACTGAGCAAGAAAGGTTGTAAAATGGGGCAGAACTCACTTAACAAATGTCTCACTTAACAACAGAAATTTTGGGCTCAATTGTGGTCATAGGTTGAGGACTACCTGTAAATTAAGGGACCTGAGACACCAAAAAAGTGTTCAAATAATTGGAGGGGATTACAGGATTAGGAAAAGAGGGGTGAAGCAGTAGGGAATAGAGTCATCTGGCCCCACATTATCTTGTTCAACAATGAATAGCCACAGTGCTTATAAACTGGATTCTGAGTTCAGCTGACTGTTTGGATCCGAGCCAAGTCCCATGTAAACATGAAGTTTTACAAGTCATACTTGTTGGTTTTCTTCACATATAAACAATGTGCACTCTAATCTTTCAATAAAAAGTGAAAGGTAATGCTGAGCTCCTGGTGACATCATGGATATGTCTCAATCAACAACAGTACAGAAATGATTTGCTATTGCCATTTTCTGGGAAATTTTTGTAGCTTTCAAGGCTAATCTTTAAGTCCTGGAGTTTTTCGGTGGTTTCCTATCGCAGAACTGATTAAACCTAATCCTGCTCAGCTTCTACCTTCAGACAAAGAAAAGATAAGCTGGACTATATTACTGAATAAATGGAAACTGCAAAACTTGTCATTGTATTGGCAGGTATCAAATTTGCCAAAGAGAACTGGAAAGTATTAGTGTATTTCAAAACATAAGATCATAACTTTTGCTCTTCATTGAAAAACCTTTGATGACTTATTTTCCCCATCTGTATGGATGTTCTGAGCATCAAGGAAAGTTGTGGCCTATTTGTTGGGAGGTGGGAAATGCTGAGTATAAAAAGATGACCCCCAAAGAGCTATGGCATTTTGAAACAAGAGAGAGGGGAGGGGGAAACTAGTGGCACTAGTCCAAAAATGTATATAATATAATTCAGATATTTTCCTCCCCAATATCTCATTCCCAATATTGGCTCTAGAATGGAAAAAGGACCTTAGAGTGATTAAAGCAAGAACTGGGTTTAGGCCAGTGGTGGGATTCAAATATGTGAACAGCCAGTTCTCTATGTGGATGCCGCTTCCGGAAGTCCATTCTGGGCCTGGGCAACAAAAAATTAGCTACCGTTTTTTCCCATCATGCAGGCCCCCTGTCATTTGATGTGCTGCTTGTATTGTGACTTTGTAAGCAACCTTAAGGGAGGATGATTATTTTTCCTTTTGGCTTTGAGAAAAAAAGAAAAAAGGAGAATAAAACAATTTCTATCTCCAAATTTAATTTGTTTGTATTTTTCCTTCCAACTGTTTTTGAAAAAAAATAATTTTAGAATGAGAAATAAAATATGTAAGACAAAGAGCCTCTAAAACCTAGGCAACAGAAATATTTTTCCACCCGGAATTGTTATATTCCCTATTGGGAGGATCAGCAACACTTGAAAATGACTGTCAGTTTTAAGGAGGCATTGCTGTTTTATATTGTAATAGAAAGAGATCAGGGTCTGGTTTGCTGGCAGACTCTCCCACTTAATTGCATGGATTGGGGCATCTGCTCGTGTTCATTTCAGAAAGTGTAGTAAAGTGGACAACAGTTCCATCGAGAAAAGCTCACTAGTGTATTTTTCAACCAAACCTATTTGCTTTTCTACCTTTTTTACAGGCTGAGCCCCGAAATATTTATGAAGCGGCCTGTGGTGGAAGGAAATCGCTGGAGATTAGACTGCATTTTGAGACGAAAAGCTGTAAGTGTGCAGTATTTTTCAAGCCTTACAAAGCTGCGAAAGAGAATAGAGGTATCTCTCAATTTTCAGACAGGGACTCAAGATATGGCTGCATTCATGATGTACTAGCTGTGTTCACTCAACACTCTTAGCTAAGTCAGGTGAAGATGCAGCAGATAGCCTTTGACATTACGCAAATATTGTGTCTTGGGTAGATGCTACTGCAGATAACTGAATATGGTTAATCCAGTTTTTTGAGCTGCCCAACATGCTGGACCATGAACTTACATTACGGCCTATGTTAATGCAGTATTCTAGGTTGTTTGGATGATGACTCACACTAGTATGCTAAGCTTGCTGGAAAAGCCAGAATCAGTCTGGTGATCAATTAAAATAATTATGGCTTACATGGTAAGTTCCAGATTTGTTTCCTTCTGTTCTTTTCTGCCAGTATCCAGATGGTATATCAGATGCCATAGAGGTTTCCCCCATGTTTTCTTAGGAGTATGTTGTCTGCTTATTGTGGTGCATTTGTGTATTAATGGAGAAAATGTGGGTTTGCTTTTTCAGTGTATGTGTGTATATATACAGATAGACAGTCATACACATACATGGAGGGGAATATTGTATGTTTTAGCTTATCTTTGTTTGCACATTATGAACCCAGCATTTGCCTAAATAATAATCCCTTCTCCTTCCTTCCTTCCTTCCTTCCTTCCTTCCTTCCTTCCTTCCTTCCTTCCTTCCTTCCTTCCTTCCTTCCTTCCTCCCTCCCTCCCTCCCTCCCTCCCTCCCTTCCCTCCTTCCTTCCTTCCTTCCTTCCTTCCTTCCTTCCTTCCTTCCTTCCTTCCTGAGCTGTGCTAAGCTTCTATAAAACTGAAGTATTTATCTTTATATGCATTTATACTACAGCCTCAGTGCTCATTGCTTAAACTTCATTACATTTCCTGGACTGATTTCGGAAGTAGAGGAGTTTGCTTCAGTGGGCTAATCTTTTTTAGGTCCATCTCCAGTGACGGGATTTAAATATGTGAACAACCGGTTCTCTGTGTGGATGCCCATTCTGGGCCTGGGCAACAAAAAAATAGCTATGGTTCTGCTGAAGTGGTGCGAACTGACTGAATCCCACCTCTGTCCATCTCCCTTTCACATGACCTCCTGTCTCATTTTCAATGAACTTCCTTAACCTCTGTGCCAAACCCCTGAATATTGTTAGGGATAGAAAATTCCTCCTTCCTAAACCTCTCCTTGATTGTAGGTGATTCCAGCAACACTGTTCAATTTGCGAGCATTTTCCCATGTTCCCTTTGAAGGCCTCTGCACTCAAGAAACTCTGGAGAGAGAGTTTAGGTCTAATGCTAGCTGCATCCTGTGTGATCATCTCTTTTGGCCTGTTCCAAGGGACATCAGTGGCATGAGCAGAAATAGTATAAATTGACTTTCCAGAGAGATGATCTCACAGTGTGATATGATAGAATATATTTGTCTGTGTTCAAAATGGATACTCATTAAATTGCTAATGGTAGGCATTGATCTTCTCCAAAAATATAGGTCTAATTAGCAGAGGGCTTAACATGTGCCTTGTTATTGAGCTTGAGGTGACATTACTTTAATGGAAGCTTCCTGTCATCTTCATAAAATACTTTTGCCAATGTGGTCAAGGTATTTTTTTGAGTTCTTGTGAGTCAGAAAGAACGATTCCCTTTGTGTCAAGGGGATGATCCCATCCTAGACTATCACCTTAGGATGGCACTCAAATCATTGATACACTTCTGGCAAACATAAAATAATTTTATTGTGGCAAAGAAAGGAAAGGTCATGTCACAATTGAAGTCCCTTGGGCTGCTCTGCTTCTAGATCTTAGATTTTAAACTGGGTGATATTTTTAGTTTTAATTTTGAATTTAGCAATTATTTTTTAACCATGCGCAGGTTGCTAAGTTTCATGGTTATTTTAGATTAGGATAATGTTTACCAGCATCAAAGGAACATAGAGCAGGAACAGAGCTGTCTAGTATTTTGGAATATTTAGTGAGCTCATCTGGAATTTTGACACCTCATCCTGGGCACACTCAGTAAATGCCTGCTGCAGGATGGATTGCTGGTCTGTTCACAAGGCATGCATTTATCAAAAGAGAAACTTGTTCTCCCAGATACCTCCTTTAGTTCTGAATGAAGATCCCTTATTTTTGCCTTTTCAAACTATCCAGAAATATCTCTTTCTTTTCCCATGTCTTTTCTTCAAGGAGGGCAAGAATCCTGCAGATAAAGGGTGCTAGTCACATATAGCATTTGTTATTGGGCATAGAATCTAGAATACTGGAATATCCATAATGAAAAAGGAGGAAAGGAAAGGAAAGGAAAGGGAGAAAGAAAGGAAGGAAGGAAGGAAAGAAAGAAAGAGAAAGAAAAAAAGAAAGAAAGAAAGAAAGAAAGAAAGAAAGAAAGAAAGAAAGAAAGAAAGAAAGAAAAGAAAGAAAGAAAAAAGAGAAAGAGAAAAAGAAAGATTCTCTTCTTCAAGATGTTGTTGAAGTTCTATGCTATGTGACTAACATCTGAAGTTATATAAATTGAAGGTTTCAGATTCTGGAACTTATTCATTTGCTAATGTCAGCTTTTTTCTTTACATTAGTCATCAATAGCACTTAAAAATATCTCAGTCAAAACATCTTCAAATTATAAAAGTTATTAGCCAGAAAACCATATATGGAGAATAACATCTGGACTCTGCAGCTTACTTATCTCACTCAAGTATTCTCACTACAAAATGAGAAATGAAGAATCCCTCTGGTAAGGAATTCCACATCAGAGGGTCACCACCAAAAAGATACTTCTCTAGGAAGCAGCTTCTCCCAGTTCAAAAGATAGGAAGCCTGAAGTAGGCCTTCATGGATAGTTGAAGGAGATACAGAAGTCAAGCTGTAGCTCATAAAATCCAAATAGCTAATAAGTAAAATGTGTATTTTGTTGCATTTAATGATTGTAGTCCATTTTGGGCCATTAGTAGCATCATTCTTCTTCTTAACATCCCTTCTTCTAACCCCTGACCCACAAAAGATTGCCCAGCTTGCTATTGTAGCATAACCCCAACAAATAAGCACTGGTCTAAAGCAATCATGAATCTTTTAGTTGGTTCTGCATGCATCAAATATGACTGGTATTTTTTTTCTTCTAACAGCAACAGGGAGTAAGAATCTTTGTGATGCTCTACAAAGAGGTAGAGCTTGCTCTGGGTATCAACAGTGAATATACCAAGAGGACTCTAATGCGCCTTCATCCTAATATTAAGGTATTTGTATCCATTGTAACAATTACACTGTTTATTTATCTTCAGGAATAGCTTCTCCACGTTGAGGTGGTGAGTTCCATAGAGTAACTGTTGCTCTATTCACAAAACAACTTCAAGATTGGCATAGGAAGAAGCAGTACTTTAGTGCTATACTCAAAAACATGTTCTATTACGTTTACAAGGACATGTCCGAAAGATATACACTAAGTAGTTTCCATTCTGTCATTTTGCCCTTGCCAGTAAATCAGTCCTGTTCGTTCTTCTAGAGCAAATCACAAACTTTGGTTCAGTTTTATTATAGTCATAGACCAGATCAGAATAAATTCCAAGAATAAAATGTACTGAAATATACATAACACATGCTATTCCCAAATAAACAACGCTATATAGAACTGTGAAAATGTAATGTTGCCAGTTGTAATAAAGTAGAACTAAATAATCAGCTCATCTGAGCAAAAAGATATCTAAAACCTTCTTGTTGATACTTATTGAATACTAGAGCTAGCAAAAGAGTACAAGTAGCCTCAAAGGTGCTTTTTAAAGGGCAACTGGATTTTTTGGGTGGGGGGGTTCCTTGAAAACATTTCACTTTTCATCCAAGAAGGGAAACTCATCTTCAGGGGAAAAACAAGAAAGTCCAGTTGCCTTTTGAAAAAGCACCTTTGGGACAACCATGAACTGGATGACTGAGAATCTCCATAGGCATGACAAGTAGAGGTGATCCTTGATTTATAACCACAGTTGGAACTGGTATTTCCATTGCTAACCAAGGCCATTGTTAAATGACCCGCACCCGATTTTACAACTTTGTTTTGTCATGGTTATTAAGTGAATTGCTGCAGTTGTTAACTGAATCATGCAATCATTAAGTGAATATTTCCTTGTTGGAAGCCAGCTGGGGAAGTAGCAGATTAGGATCAGATGTTTCTGGTTTCTGCAATTATCATAAATATGTGCTGGTTGAACACATGGCTGTGGGGATGCTGCAACTGTCGTTAGTGCAAGGACTAGTCATAAGTCACTTTTTTCAGTGCTGCTGTAACTTCAGACAGTTGCTAAATGAATGGTTATAAGTCAAGGGCTGTCTGTCTTTGGCTGCATTCAATGAGACGGTATCAAGATGATCAGACAGGTCAAAGATAAAATGAATCTGAATGACCAAGGCATTTATCTAGAAACAGAGATAACAACTCCAGACATAAATCAGGGACAATAAAATACAAAATGACTTAAAGTTGCTCCTTTTCCATGTGAGCATAGAACCTTGCTTCATTGTTGAGTGTCAAGAAGGTGTTAAACCTAGCCAAAGAGAAAAAGTCCTCCTAAATTTAGGAATGATTACATAATTGGGGCAGCATGCTGGTTGAATGCGATGGAGAAAAACCTACTCAAAAAGGGAATCTTGCATATTTATTTACCTATATGGAATTTCTGATCATCTAAGGTTTCTACCTTAGATTAAAATCTTCATCTATAACTCCCTTGATTTTAAGGTCAGTGTTTCCTTTCCAGGTAATGAGGCACCCTGATCATGTGTCATCTACTGTTTATTTATGGGCCCACCATGAAAAGCTGGTGATCATTGACCAATCCGTAGCTTTTGTTGGTGGCATAGACTTGGCGTATGGCAGATGGGATGACAATGAGCACCGACTGACGGATGTGGGCAGTGTGAAACGTATGACAGCAGCCAAATCTGAGTCTTCAGTGAATCTTTCTGTAAGTATGATTTCTACAGTCTGAGAAGAGCACACATTGGGAAGAGCACACATTGGTGAGGTGGGGCTACACAAATCAGGGAAGCTACTTCTGAGATTGGTACTACCTTCAGCTTGTTCAGGAAACATCAATATCAAATCTGTTCCTAGAAACCAGGAGATTGTGAGTTCTAGTCCTGCCTCATGCATGAAAGCTGGCTAGGCAACTTTGGACCAATCACCAGGAGACTGTGAGTTCTAGTCCTGCCTTAACCATGAAAGCCAGCTTGGTGACTTTGGGCTAGTCAATCTTCATCAACCCAACCTACATCACAGGGTTGTATTGTGGAGAAAATAGAAGGAGAAAAATGTGTTGGATATAATAGCTGGCTTGAGTTGTTTGTAAAAATAATGAAGGTGGTATAGAAATAAATATTTGATTGAATTAAAGATCAAGACTTAAAAAGTAAAATGAAGGAATATAAAGTGAGTTTATTTGATCACAGTTAAAATAAGATTTTTTTGTTTGGCAATGTTCTGGAAACCCTTTAAGAACTTTTTGCTCACACTAGGATTAACGTATTATGAGTTTGCTTATAGCTAAAGGATGGAATATGGAATGAAGACATGTTTATTTAACCTTATAGGGGGCAAAGAGTTGCTAAATTTGTTTTTATTTGTTTAGAACTTATTTTTCTTTATTCCTTTTTATTTTTCCCAGCACTTTCTATTCTTTCCTCCCATTACGTTTTCTTTCTCTATGTTGAGCTTTTATTACTTTTTAATATTTAATTAAAATTCTTAATAAACATTATGTTTTTAAAAAAGCAAATATATGTATCAATGTACACATTTCCAAGATAACTTTGTCTAGATAAAATCATATTCACAAATACCTCATATATCTGCAGGGTTGTCTTTCATAAGCTTTGTGTCAGATTCCAGAGAACTTTGATTTAGGAAACAACAAGGAATGTATAACTCTAACATTTTTTTTATTTATGATCCTTTGCTACCCTGATTTAAACTGATAAGATGCCACAAAGAAAAGGCAAAGGAACACAGGGTGATTTCTATCAGATTTTGATTCTGTTTTTTTTCCCAGAGTTGATTTTGTATTTCGCTCACCTTGTTAAAGCGTGTGCTTTTTTTTAAAGAGATTCTAAAGTTAATTTACTAATACCCCCATCCAAAATTAAATTGTACAGGTGTCTTGCACTTTACTGATCTCCAAATCCTCTGAACTCAGTGTTGCCTCTCTGTGAAATAAATGCATATTGTATAGGTCAGTTTCCTTTCCTTTTAAATTGTGTCTTTCAGAAAACCAACAAGAAATTGAGAAAGTAATTCTCCTACCTTGTTTCAGATTGACATTTAGACAGCTGCTCGGGTCAGTGGAGGTGCCTGGCAATTGGTTTAAGATTTCTAGCGGGCCCAGCTCATGGGAAGTCATTTTATAAAGGGCTGTATCTATCAAATAAGATTTCCTGCATCCAGTTTCTGGTGCCTTTTAACCTGCACTGCTAACACTGTTTCCCCTGCTAACAAGCCAATTTAATGTGGATTGCAGACACCCTGTGATGCTCTAGAAACTGAATATCTATCTACCTTCAGTTTCTATCTGAATATCTTTTGCAGAATCAGTTGGGACATCCAGGTCTTGTTTATTTTTATTTAATTTGAATTCTTTATTGCCCAAGTGTGTTTGGACATACAAAGAATTTGTCTCTGGTGCATAAGCTCTCACTGTATGTACAAGCAACAAATGATAAATCATGATCATAATCCTAAAATACAATCATCATAAATCATAAGATACTCAGTGATAGTCGTAGGATACTCAATAAAAGCAGTCAACATAAATCATAAGATACAGACAACAAAGTCATAAGATGCTAAAGGAATAGGTAATAGGAAAGATGAGATACAGCCCTGCTACGTGGTTTGACATCCTAGCATCAACCCTATCAACCCTAGCATCAAAGTCCTTAGTCTAGACAACTTTTTTCAGATCACATTAGCTGGTATATTTCTTAAGAGTATCAAGGGTTTAGTCAATGTTAGATTGAGAAGGCTAGGAGTTGCAATCTTGCCAGAATTGGAGAATGCCAGTTTCTTCTTTTCTTTCAGTGGTGGACACACATGCATGAAACCATCTGTCCATACACCAGCATCGCTTGATGACCTAATGGGGTTGTGAACTAGCTGGAGGTGTTTCAAGATTCCAGGAAACTTTTATAGATATTTTTTTTTCTTTCTTTCTAATTTCTTTTTTTTCTTTTCTTTTTTCTTCTTCTTCTTCTTGTTTCTTTTCTTTTTCTCTTTCTGCTTTTTAAATATTGGTGTTAAAGTATTTTATGATTTGTTTAATTATTGTAACCAAATTTGTATATGGTTTATTTGTGTTTAAAAAATTTTCTTTTAAATTTTAATTAAGCCTGTATTCAGCTCTGGGAAGGTTGGGGGAGGGTTGGGGTGGGTTGGGAGGGTTTGGGGAAGGGAATTTTTTTTGTAAAATTTTAAAAAAATTTCAATAATAAAAAAAAAAGATTCCAGGAAACATTCTATAGGGGCTACAACTGTTAGGCATATTCAGACACACTGACTTTTAGCTCAAAATCCAAAACTGTGAAGAGAACTGTGATTTAAATTATTGCATAAGTATTTCTAATATTTGTTTTTGATAACATGCAGTGGGAAACACATGAAACCAAAACTAGTTTTGCAATATCCATGCCAAAGAATTGGCTTGGATATTTATTTCCGTTTCTCTTGCAGTTCATTCTATGCGTTCCCTTTAAACCTGTCCATCTTTTCAGAAATGTCATGCGATATAGTACTTGTGGGTCTGTGTCACTTCTGAATGAAAATAGGAGGGATCTTCTTCATAGCTCATTCATTTTCCCTGGAGAGCAGCTTTGATTCATTTGGTCCAAAAGCATCTGTGGGCAAGAAGAGCAAGTAATGATAAATATGGGATTTTTTAAAAAAAAATGACATGATTTGCACATTTATATTAGACGTCATAATATCATTACATAAATGCTCTATTCGCATTATGACATCAAGATATGAGGACATTAAAATATGTTGTGATGGCTTTTACGGATGTTGGCAGATTTGATAAACCCTCATTTATAGGTATATGCGTATAAGGGCTGTTACATATTCTGAATACACAGAGATACATGTTGATTAAAATTGATTACATACCACCAAATCAGGTGTCAATTTTTAGCAGCCACCTTCTCCAAGACAGATACATAAACACATATTTAAATTGAACCTTATGTGTCCTTTTTCTGCCCCAAGTCTTTAGCTGAAACTGTTCAACCTCAGATGGAGCCTCCAGTAATTACACCTCTTCAAGGATGCAGTGATGATGCCCCAGAAGTTTCAAGAATGAAAGGAGTAGGGAGACCCAAGAAATTTGCCAGATTCAGCATCTACAGACAGCTCCATCGACATACTATGCATCATGCAGACAGCGTGAGCAGCGTAGACAGTGATTCTTGTGAGTGATTTGTTTACTTATTCATTGTATTTCTGTGCCATATTTCAGGGTCAAAATCCTTTCAAGAACTTTGAGGATGATATAAAAATGAATTAATGATTTTATTCAAATAAAATCAATTAATTAAATTTCTCCATAAAACAGGGAAAAGTTGAGCAACATAAAGGTAGGTGGCACTCAGGCTATTATATATGCTGTACATCCAACTTAAGGGAGCAAAATAATATCTCTTCTTATCTTCACAAGGACCATATGATGAAGCTGGGATGATTGAATGGCTTCAGATCAATGAGATTTACAATCTAGTGGAAATTTGGAACTGGGTCTCCTCATTCCTAAGACCAACTATTGCTACACTAATCTCCAGGATATATAAAGAAGGGTTGTGCCAGGCTTCTGAAATATTTTTTAAAAAGATGCTTCAGAGAGTGCAGGAACATGAACATAACTCCTGTTCATACTTCTTTGTTAGAGTGATCACTTCACTTAACTGTTACTGGTGATACGAAATCTCATTTTAATGTATGCTGACTAGTGTACATTTAAAGTAACAATAAAGATATTGTTCTATTCTATCTTTGTAAGATGGAAGAAACAGAAAGAAAATAGGAAAAGGTTCTTTGCTCTGGGACATTAACACATGTTGGAGGCAGGGAAGGGAAGGGAAGGGAAGGGAAGGGAAGGGAAGGGAAGGGAAGAAGAGAAGAGAAGAGAAGAGACCTTTAATCTATTGAATAATATTCCACTTGCTCTGCTTTGAGGTTGCACTCTTCTTCATGACTGGTATTAATTTAAAGAAGATTAAATATTTGCATAATAATTGAGATTACTGTTAATACCAAGTTCCAAAAATCTGTTTTGTACTTGTGTTGAATCTGTTTTGTTTGAAACAGGTAAAGGCTCAGTTCGCAGTTTGAAGACAGGGGTTGGAGAGCTTCTTGGTGAAACTAGATTCTGGCATGGAAAAGATTATTGCAACTTTGTGTTTAAAGATTGGGTCCAACTGGATAAACCCTTTGCTGGTAAGCATCACTGCAAGTTAGAATCATATCTGGACAGTCAGTGAGGGCCCATGAATTTGTGACAATATTTCGCTAGCGGAGGGCAAAAGTCTAGGTGATTGGGTATCTTATTTCCCACAATAGCCAACCAGGTGTTGGTAGCATACCCAAGAATAGCTGGTGGTTCTTTTGGCTCTTGACATTTGTTGTTGTTGCTTCCCTTTTAGATTTTATTGATCGCTACACCATGCCAAGGATGCCATGGCATGACATTGCCTCTGTAGTCCATGGCAAAGCTGCACGGAATGTAGCTCGGCACTTCATTCAACGTTGGAACTTCACAAAGGTGGGTGTCATATAGTTTTTCAATTATTCAATTGAACAATTATTCAGGTATTTGGAATCTTCTGAATCCCTAATCCAGGGGTAGGCAACCTTGGCTCTTTTATGACTCGTGGACTTCAACTCCCAGAATTCCTGAGCCAGCACAGCTGGCTCAGGAATTCTGGGAGCTGAAGTCCACGAGTCATAAAAGAGCCAAGGTTGCCTACCCCTGCCCTAGTCTGTAAGAAGTAAAATGATGTCACGGTCATAACTGCATGTAAAATCTTAACATGACAACATTTTTTCCATTTTTTCTTTTTTCTTTTATGATACAAGATCATGAAATCCAAATACAGGTCCCTTTCATATCCTTTCTTGTTGCCAAAATCTCAGCGAACAGCTGATGAGTTGAAGTATCAAGTCCCCGAGGCTGTGTACGCCAAAGTGCAGGTAGGAATGTTGTAATATTTATGAAATGTATAATGCTCCATAACTGGCAAATTAGATATTGGATTCCTTCTATCATCATAAGAAGCCTTAAAAAATGACTCCAAGATTGAAATTGTTCTGAACCCTAGATTAAATCCCACTTTTCTTCTTTCTATATCCCTGGTGTGTCTGGAGAGGTTGTGGAAGAGATCCACAGCCTTTTATTTTTCTTATCCACTGATAAAACATCTATATAAAATATTCCATTCTTCAAAACAGAGACAAAGCTACCCCTGGGGATATTTACTCAGAAGTAAAGTCACTCAGTGTTCAGCAGCCTTCTGGAATTACCAACAAAAGACATTTCCCAGTTGTATCGCTAAAGTAGGCTTCCATTTACCACTTCAGTTTCATTAAAATCTCCTTTAAACAGTGTGGCAGGAAAATATGTTTTTGGACTCTTAAATCATGAAGAATGGGAATGGGAGAAAGAGAAGACAGATACTCTTCCCTGGAAAAGCTCTGTGCTCTTCTCAATTATTTGCAAGATTGAGAGTTGCAGTCTAAGATGATTTGAAAAATGTTAGATTGGGAAAGCTTGTTTCTTGTTCCACAGGAAATAAATCTTAGGAGTTGGAATGACTTGTCCAAACACAATTAGTTGGTAAGAAAAAGTTTCAAAGGAGGTGATTGTGGATGGGATTGATTGTTCTCTTGTAATGCTATGAAATTGAAAATTATTTGTCTTCCTTGACTTTTATGATCTGCTGGCCTTTGCTTTTGCCGAGACAAGGTCCCTGGCTAGATAAAATTTATTTTCAACAGGAGAATCATCATCTCAAAGCAAAACAAAACAAAACAAAAATGTTTATCGAACATTTTTTAAAATGGGAATGATTGATGGAAACTTTTGCTGGAACAAAGAAAGAGTTGTTTTGCTCATTGTAGGCATGGACAGTCGCAGCAATTTGAAGATAAAGTTTTTCAAACTGAGCGTGACTCCTAAGGATGTCATGTACACAACCATGGAGTTTTCTTGGTAGCAGTACAACAGAAGTAACTTGCCACCTCCGTTTTCTGGATTATTATTTTTTTTAATTTCTCAGTCTAGATAGCCCTAAAGATGCCATTTCTTGTCCTTCTCTTTTTGATTAACTAGGAGGCACCAATAGCCACTAAAAGACAACTTCCAACAAGCAAAATCAATGGAGGAAGCCAGGTTCACTTAACGATTGTGTAATTCACTTAACAACCACGGCGATTCCCTTAACCTTGGCAAAAAAAGATTGTAAAATCAGGCACAACTCATTTAACAGTCAGCTTGCTTAGCAACAGACATTTTGGTCTCAGTTTTGGTCATAAGTCAAGGACTATACCTGTACTAACCTGCTTAAGTTATCCAAAGTTAACTATATATTGCAATTTAAGCAATTTTATCAACATGTGTATGTACCTTTTGAATATAATCAATATAGGACCATTGGATCCAATTTGCTACCGAGTGCAAGAATGTAAATTAAAGTAGATCTTATAGACCAGTGATGGCGAACCTTTTAGAGCCGAGTGCCCAAAAACTGGCCCTGCCCCCATTCTACCCCTGCCCCGCCCCCCATCCCCTGCCCCGCCTGCCCGCAGGGCCATTCACCGCTTCCAGGGCCCGCCGCAGATGACCCAGGCAGCCCACCAGTGCCATGGCGGCCACACCCTCTGCCTGTCCCCTGCAGCATCAACTGTGCACAATGGGGCGTGAGAGCAGAGTCTTGTCTACACTGCCTGGCTGCCATGTCCTTGGCTGCGCTGCTTTGCATGGGCCATGTTCGGCAGTGACTCTCCTCCAGGGGGGCTGCTGGTGAGAGGGTCATGGGGGAGGCGAGGCTGGGGCAATGGGATGTGTGCCCACAGAGAGGGCTCCGAGTGCCACCTCTGGCATGCATACCATAGGTTCACCCCCACTGTTATAGACACTTCCTTTTCCTACACATCCAATGAGGCAGGACTCATAATTTCCTGCCATATTGTGAAACTGTTCTTAGGAATCTACTTTCCTCTGCTTTAAGTCCATTAGTTCATGACCTGCAAGAGTTTTAGCAGATGACATCATTCTTTTCAGACAAGAGAAACGAAATGCTTTGTTGTGTTAACACTGGCAAGAGGGGTGGCAGCTGTTTGAGGTTTTTCTACTGCTTTTCTTAGGAAAACCATCTTTTGCTGACAGTAATCCCTTCCTCCTCCCTCTCCCTTTTGCCTCCTCAGATGAAACTAGTGACAATCTGAGATTATTGTCTGATATTCCCTTAGTTGCTTCCTGTTTGGAAAATGGATAGCGGCCAGCAATAGAGTTTACCTCATTCTCAGCTCGCCAATTCTTCCATGTTCAGTGTCCCAACATCTTTAGGCAAGGCTGAAAAACAACTGCAGTCAATCAGTGAGTGGGTTCACATCTCACTCAACACCATTGTTTGCTTGATGATAAATGGGGGCTTCAGACGACATGCTAATCCAGGGATCTTCAGACTTGGCCCTTTTGTGGACTTCAACTCACAGAATTCCTCAGACAGGCACTCTGGCTGAGGAATTCTGGGAGTTGAAGCCCACAAGTCATAAAAGAGCCAAGTTTGAAGACCCCCGTGCTAATCCAATAAAAAGTAATATTAAGACTTGCCGCCAGAAACTGATTCTTAGGAGACAGCGCTAACAGAGCCAGACCATTGCATATAGTTAGGCTTTTATGTTAAAACTGGTTGGATGCTGTGAAACAGAAACTCCTTGCATATGATTATCTACCTATTTTTTTTTAAAAAAGCTGGTGTTTACTCTCCCAGGTGCTTCGCTCTGCTGCCGACTGGTCTGCTGGTATTAAGTACCATGAAGAATCGATCCATTCTGCTTACGTGAGCGTGATAGAAAACAGCAAGCACTACATCTATATAGAGGCAAGTAGTTGCTATGTGTAGAAGACCTGGCTCAGTTCAGTGAAAGTAGCGGGAGGCTATATTTATAGTTTTCATATAGGTTGAAATTCTTCAGTGACATAAATACTGCTGCCTTTGCCTTTGTATGTGCCTAAGTAGGAGTATTTTCATGATTGGAGGCAGCTGCCTTAGAAGGCCAGGTGGGTTGTCCCCTGGAGTTGGATGGACATTATATGTTGTCTTCTGTAGGAATCAGGCCAACAGTAACATAAATGAGGCTTTCTCACCTTGATTGCCCTCCAGATGGGTGGACTTCACTTCCCAGAATTCTCAGTAATGTTCACACTAACTGGAGGACCCTGGGAGTTGAAGTCTACATAACTGGAAGGTTCTCAGTTTGGGGAAAGATACCATGAATTTACTCCAGCAGTTTATAGGAGTCTGATTCTATTGTGTAATTTTTTGCCTGTTTATTACTTTCTGGGTATAAATGGTGGGCTTTCAAAGTGCAGAATAAGTCACAATTTATTATTTCCTTCATGCACACAGAAGTGTCATGTTCAGTGTGCCTTGAGAAACTATGGTTCATCGTTGTAATAAACTTTTGGTGTTCGATGAGAATGATCAAGGATACTCAAGATACTCAAATTCTATCAATGAGAAATATAAATTAAACATTCCTTTGCAGAGCTCCAATAATTTCAATGCAATTTTTTTATGTTATTCTTGATTGATTGGTCGATTGACTGATTTACAGTTTTATCTGGCCCAATCTGCAAAGACTGGGTGACTTACAAAGAAACAATATTATAACTTAATGTTATAATGTTGTTTCTTTGTTAGCCACCCAGTCTTTGTAGATTATACTATACCATTATTATACTCTACCATAGGTAGATTATAATGTTATAATCGAGAGGAACAAAGCAAATAATTATATAAATGAAAATCACTGCGGTAATAGTCCATAGTTAAAGGCCACTGAAAAAATGTAGATTTAATTGTTTTAAATCCTCAAAGAGTGGGAGAGGAATATTGCAAAAAGTGGTGTCTATCACTGAAAAGATCTGCTGTCTTCTCTATGGTCCATGCACCTCTTCAGAAGAGGGGTCTCTTGAGAAACTTTCTTTCTTCCAAGAATTGAAGAAACTTTAATCTGCCTGCTTGGTAACCATTCTGCTTGGCTGAGAATTCTGGAATTCATTCCAAGATGCACTCTTCGATTAAATAGTATTCCGGCCAGAACTTTCCATGACCTTTGTTTTTCAGAAGTGTTGGGAAATAAATGTCCCAGAATTCTCAAGCAGCCAGCAAGAATTCTGGGAGTTGTTTCCCAGGGCATTTAGAGCAGGGCTTTTCGACCGCTGGTACGCGTACCATCGGTGGTACTTTAGCACCTGACAGGTGATACACGACCCCTAGCCAAGTATAGCGGAGGAGGGAATGAGCTAAAGTGGTGCCGCACAGGTCTGGAGGAGATCAGCTGGAGCTGCAGGGCTCAGCAGAAGCCCCAGGATCTGCGTGTGCGGCTACATGCTGATTGGAGCTTCCGACACACCCAGAAGAGAAGAGGAGGGCGGAGAGAGGAGAAACTATAAAATGAGCAGGTTTTGACAGGAGAGGGAGAGAAAAAAACACACGGAGAAAGAGAGAGAAGAGGCTTTTGTTAGCGAAGCGGTGAGGAGAGAGAGAGAGAGAGAGCCATTTGCGAGCAAAGAGTGAGTGAGTGAGAGGGTGAGCAAGAGGCTTTTGCAAGCAAAGAGTAAGAGAGGGAGGGCTTTTGCAAGGGAAAGGTGAGAGAAAAGGGGAAAAGTGAGGGGGAGAAGGGAAAAAGAAAAGAAAAGGCATTGACTTCTGACTTTCTCTGTTGCAGTAGAAGGAAGCATTAACATTGAACCTCAACTTTTTATTTTTCCATATTATAAACTAGCCATTTCTATAACAACAAATGAATCTAACCAGAAAAGCCCCAAATCCCCCCTCCCTTTTTTTTAGTCGTCAAGTTCTCGACACCTTGCTAAGCACTGGTGGTACTCGAATATTGTCATGTCCTAAAAATGGTACAATCTGTGAAAAGATTGAAAAGCCCTGATTTTATTGCACAGCAGGTTGAAGTCTATGTAAATAGAATGCACTGCTCAGTGCTTTCCTGAGGCTAAGGTAGTAACTGGGAGAGAAGGTCATTAATTATAGATTCCACTTTTAGAAAAGCTGATCTTCTCTGACTTCTTCTCGTCAGATTTCACAAAATAATCTTACAAATAATCCCAGAGCTACTCCTTCAGAAACGGTTGCCTTTCCAAATATTGTACATTAAAAACATGCAATAATTCAGTTTCGTTAGCAGCATAAATATTTGCAATTCCTTTCTGTTTTTGTTTCCCCATTGTAGAACCAGTTTTTTATTAGCTGCGCCGACGACAAACTTGTGTCGAACCGAATTGGTGATGCCATTGCACACAGAATTCTCAAAGCTTACAGGTAACCTAGCTGCAAAAAAATGGGGGGGGGGCGGAAGTGTTTTGCAATTATTTTTGCAATGGAAAAAACTTGCTGAGGAATTCTGGGAATTGAGATCCAGACCTCTTAAATTTGTCAAGATTGAGAAACATTAGCTTAGACTTTTCTAGCACACCTAGGGGAAGCACAATTAAAAGCCTTCAAAGTTAGAGAGTAAAAAAAGGTAAAGGTTTACCTATCAAGTTGTATCAATTCTAGGGCATGATGCTCATCTCTGTTTCTTGGCTGAGGGAACTAGCGTTGTCCAAATACATTTTCTATGATGAGCTAATTAAAAGTTAGATAATCTTCAAGAATTGGCAGATTTTATAGAATTTGCTGGAATGAGAGGGGTTCAAGCCGTAAGTTAACAGTCCTCAATACTGCACTGATATTATTTTATATTTTAGCTATCATATGAAAAAAAGAATAATAGAATATTTGTAGCTCAGGCTTGAACTATGGGGTTCTTGGTGTTCTCAGAGCTTAGTTGTTTTCTTGTAGACATACATTTATTTATTTATTTATTTATTTATTTATTTATTTATTTATTTATGAGACTTATATACCGCTTTAAGTGCAAACACTCTCTAAGCGGTGCACACCAGTAAGCAATGTATATATATATTTACATTGCCCCCAACAATCTGGGTCCTCATTTTACCTACCCTGGAAGGATGGAAGGCTGAGTCAACCTTGAGCCGGTGAGATTTGAACCGCTGACCTGCTGAACACAGTCAGCTAAAGTGGCCTGCAGTACTGCACTCTAACTGCTGCGCCACCTCATTACCTGACTAGGATACACCATCAGCCAGGTGATACGCTAGGCTAAGCTAGCACTGATGATCTTACCTAGGCAAGTAATGAAACATCTTCAGGAAAACAACTAATATCCCCAAGGGGCCCCCAAGGGAAAAATATTGCTTCTTTTTGCAATGATGGAAATGGACAGGCCATATCAGTGGTGGCGAACCTATGGCACGGGTGTCAGAGGCGGCACTCAGAGCCCCCTCTGTGGGCACGTGTGTCGTCGCCCCAGTCCTAGGCCTTCAGCTGGGTTTTATAAAACCTTTTCACTTTAGGCCACCACCGCCGTGTGCAAAAAAAAAAAAAAAGGTTCAATCAGTCAGTCAATTTCAACTTCTCACAGGGAAAAAAATATCTTCAAAGTTGGAATTGATTGATTGAACTTTTTAGTCCCATCAAGTCTGCCGTTACCACTGCAGCTATGCCCACCCAATGGGCCACAGCCACCCGGCACTGGACGATGCATAAGTGGGTTTTGGGTTGCAGTTTGGGCACTCGGTCTCTAAAAGGTTCGCCATCACTGGTCCATGTTCATCCGGACTATTAAGTTCTCAGCCCATTCCTGAAATGAATTAAACAATAAATATCCATCAGTGGCGCATGGCCAAAAAGGTTACTGTGTAGATTTCTGTCGTCGTGTATGTTTCTTTATCTCAGGGTTGATGCAGCTTTTCAACAGCATGGGCCCATTGTCCAAGGCAGATTTGTCACATCCACAGTATAAGACTAGATTTATAGGCAGAATGTTGAAACTCAGGGGCCAAATAACATGTTGCACCTTCTGACTTGATGTTGCGACCTTCTCTGTCTAAATGCTCGATGAGAACTGAAGTGTGTGTGTGTGTGTCTTTTGCACTTCTCTTTGTTTAATCATTTAAGTGATGTGTAAAATGTTGCTGGTTACCTGAATGGCAAGTGACTATCTTTTATACAAAAGGAATGAAAGATCTTGGCAGGGTGGAATATCCTAATCTAACAATGGCTTGAAGATCACTGTAGCTTCACATAGTCAGGGCGAGAAAGAACATTGACAATTGTCTGGAATTTCTAAAAGGAAAGCTTGCATTTCAAGAAGCACAGTCATTAGCCATTGTAGCTGTGGATCATCTCTGAACTGTGAGACTGTTACAGCAGCTTTGGATTTAACAGCTTTCATGTATAACCTTTTCAGTTCCTTCCAAAAGTGGCTCTAACTCTCCTTTTTGGTCGTCCTTTGGCTGCTTCTGCTTTTTTTTTTATGCTTTTCTTCCTAGACTGCTGCTTTTCAGTGAGTTTATGACAGTGTTTATTATTATATTATCGATCATCGCACAGTCAGCCAGATGTTCAGACTGGATTTGGCATTTTGTCTACCTATCGAGTCCTTACCCAGGACCTGGGATAGGCAGATGTGGATGTTTGATGGTATTACAGGTATCGTCGCAGGATGGAAGCAGTTCCTAATAAGGCCGCCTTTTGCAATTGACTAATAGCAAATTTGTCAATGCCAATGGTGTTCAAGTGGTGCTCCAGTTGTTTTGGGATTGCGCCCAAGGAGCCTATGACTATTGGTACTACCCTTGCTTGCTTTTGCCACAGTCTTTCTATTTCTATTTGTAGGTCTTTGTATTTTGTTATCTTCTCCAGTTCTTTCTCTTCTATTCTGCTTCTCCAGGCACTGCCACGTCCACTATCCAGACTTTTTTGTCTTTCTTATCGACAATTGTTAAGTCTGGGGTGTTATGTTGCAGGTGCTTGTCTGTTTGAATTCTGAAGTCCCAGAGCAGTTTAATTTTATCATTTTCTATGACTTTCTCTATTTTATGATCCCACCAGTTTTTGCTTACAGGCAATGATATTTTTTGCAGATCTTCCAATGCACCATTGTTGCTACTTTGTCATGCCGCTGCTTGTAATCAGTCTGTGCAATCTTCTTGCAACAGCTTACCAAGTGGTCCACTGTTTCTTCAGCTTCTTTGCATAGGCGGCACTTACTGTCTGTTGCTGTCTTCTCAATTTTGACTTTGTATGCATTTGTCCTTAAGGCTTGGTCTTGTGCAGCCAGAATTAGTCCCTCGGTCTCTTTCTTCAATTTTCCTGCTCTTAGCCATTGCCAGGTTTTATTATTATCTGCTTTCCCAGCTATTTTTTTCATGTATTGGCCATGTAGTGCTTTGTCTTCCCATGCCTCTATTCTGTTCTTCATTTGGTCTTTCTTGTAGGCCAGTTTGGTCTCTCCAGTAGTCAGTAAGCCTTCCTGATATACTAATTTCAGTGCATCTTCATCATTGTTCTTCAGATATTCTTCCAAAGCCATTTTTTCTTCTTCAACCATCTGATGTACTTGTAGCATTCCACGCCCACCTATTTGCCTTGGTAGATAAAGTCTATCAATGTCACTGCGTGGATGAAGGGCGTGATTCATTGTCATTATTTTTCTGGTCTGCCTATCCATTGCTTTTAGTTCTGCTTGAGTCCAGTCCACTATTCCAGCTGTGTATCTAATGACTGGGATTGCCCAGGTGTTGATTGCCTTTATGGTATTTCCTCCATTGAGTTTGGATTTTAAGATCTTCTTCACTCTCTTGATGTATTCACCTCTAATCTTTTTCTTGACTTCAGTGTGCTTGATGTTGTCAGCTTGAAGGATACCCAAGTATTTGTAGTACTCTTCCTCATCCAGACTCTTAATGTTATTTTCGTGGGGCATCTTGATTCCTTCAGTTTTCACTATTTTTCCTTGTTTGATAGTAAGTGTGGCACATTTGTCCAAGCCAAACTCCATTACAATATCTTGGCTATATATTATTATTATTATTATTATTATTATTATTATTATTATTATTACTATGGATCATCGCACAGTCAGCCAGATGTTCAGACTGGATTTAGCATTTTGTCTATCTATCGAGTTCTTACCCAGGACCTGGGATAGGCAGATGTGGATGTTTGATGGTATTACAGGTATCGTCGCAGGATGGAAGCAGTTCCTAGTAAGGCCGCCTTTTGCAATTGACTAATAGCGAATTTGTCAATACCAATGGTGTTCAAGTGGTGCTCCAGTTGTTTTGGGATTGCACCCAAGGAGCCTATTATTATTGGTACTACCCTTGCTTGCTTTTTTTTTATTATTATTATTATTATTATTATTATTATTATTATTATTATTATTATTATTATTATTTTCTGGAGTCCTCAGGCCCAAATATAAATCAATTACCAAATGGCACAATTATTTAAAAAAACAGATGGGATATACAGGTAGTCCTCAACTTACAGCAGTTCGTTTAGTGACCGTTCAAAGACATAACGGCACTGAAAAAAGTGATTAAATGACTGTTTTTTGCACTTATGACTATTGCACACACACACACACACACACCGGTCACGCAAACAAAATTCAGACGCTTGGCAACTGGTTCATATGTACCTGTAAGTGAATTATTTACATCTGGTCAGAAGCGAGCCTTCCTAAATTCAGGAAGATTTGCTTGGAGTTATGTGTGATTAGGCTGGCATTACTTATTACAGGTAGTCCTCGACGTATGACCACAATTGAGCTCAAAATTCCCATTGCTAAGTAAGACAGTTGTTAAGTGAGTTTTGCCCCATTTTACGACCTTTCTTGCCACAGTGGTTAAGCTGCAGCTGTTAATTTAGTTAACACAGTTAAGTAAATCTGGCTTCCCCCTTGACTCTTGCTTCTCAGGTCACAAAAGGGGATGACATGACCCTAGAACACTGCAAGCGTCATAAATACGAGTCAGTTGCCAAGCATCCAAATTTTGATCACGTGAGCTCAAAGATGCCGAAGTTGTAAGCAGTGGTGGGATTCAAATATGTGAACAACCGGTTCTCTGTTGGATGCCGCTTCCGGAAGTCCATTCTGGGCCTGGGCAACAAAAAATTAGCTTCCGGTTCTGCCAAAGTGGTGTGAACCATCTGAATCTCACCACTGGTCATAAGTGTGAAATACGGTCATAAATCACTTTTTTCAATGCCATTGTAACTTTCAACCATCACTAAATGAATGGTTGTAAGTTGAGGACTACTTGTATTTTGTAGTCAGTTTCCACAATTATTTTTTTAACTATTGAGCCATGAGAACAAACAATGTACTTGTTGGGGGGTCACAAATCCTTTCTAGGAAGGCCTTGGCTGAAACCTTTCCAGGCTGGTTCCACAACTCTTGTTCC